GGTGCCAAGTTGGCCGCACCCCTTGTCAGCTTGGGTCAGTGCCACGCTCGTTATTAATGCTCTGTCTAGAGGTCACATTCAGACAAACCGAGCCTCTGGGTCAGCCAGAGGAAAAGATTAGAGCTCGTTTGCTGCTCCGCCGCACACCCACGGCACCGATCTCCTCCCGGCCCACAGCCGGCAGGAGGGAAGCTGCAGCGCGCGCTCGACTGCTTTGCCTTTTTTTTTTTTTTTTTTTGGCAGCGTTGGGCATCTCTTGAAACTGCACAGACTCTCCTCCCCGTACCCCTGGGCTGCTGAGCGAGGAGGTGAGACGGGGGGGAGCAAAGCAACTTCAGTCCACCTTAACAAACGCCGCTCCAGACCGTTGGAAAGCTCCGAGGAGTGCCCAGGGTGCCTCTCGCCAGCCCCAGTGGGGCAGAGAGCACTGAGGACGGAGCATGTGTTCAAGGCAACTTCTTGCGTCAGGGTCAGGCGCCTCCTGCTTTTAAGACCCGGTTTTAAGTTACCGCGCAGTAGCTTCCCTTGCTGCCCAGGGCTCCTAAGTGCCGGAGCCCCCAGGATTTAAAGAACCAGCTTTTTTTTTTCTCCTTCCTTCCCTTTCTTTGGCTGCTGCGAGGGAGTGAAAACAAAATGAGCGGGGAGGATGTGAGTCAAGAACTCCCGGCGCTTGGTAACAAACGGCTGTGCCGCGCGGGGCTTTGAAGAAGTGCTCTCCCTGTTTATTCTGCTCTGCCTGCCGCATGCTCGGAGCAGATTTTCTGGCAGGTGAAGCTAGACTCGGAGAATGTAAGTACAGCCATAGGGCAGTAACGAAATGCTGAGCTTCTGGGGTGAACGTTAAGGATCGAGCGAGCGAGTGTGTGTGCGTGTGCACACTTGTGCACACACCTATCATCTCCTCCTCGCCAGTCAACACAGGGCTGATGAAGATCCGGTCGGCTGGTTAGTCAGAGTTTCAGTTTTGGTGCGAAATGAGTGTGTGCGTTTTGTGAGAGACAGATCTGCGTGTGGCAGGCTTGTGTTAGAGGGGGAGGGGGCAGTGAAGAGTCCGTGGGGGGAGGGAGGGGAGGCGGTGGGGGGGGGGCGTGGAAGGGAACACTGACGTTACTCAGCAGAGCACTGGTGGTGCCTGGCGAGTGGCCTGTTCACCAGCCAGATCCAAGGCAGCTGCTGGCTGCTCCCGCCCTGAGAGTACAGATAATTATAGTTTTGGGAAGCAGGTGTTGCTGTTTTGTTCTCTTGCCTGCGAAGATAAGGGCGTCTGTATGCACCGGTTTGATCCTGCAGGGGGAAGGTCGGTCTCTGCTTTGGAAACATGCAGCCACCTCCTCCTGAGATAGACACAGACACCTGCGCGGCTCCCCTCCTGCCGGCTAGATGCTTGCCTCCAGGCCCGCACCATTTGCCTGTGTGAAGCCCGGGCACACCGCACGCTGTCCCCAGCAGGCGAGGGGAAGGGCGCCGAGCTTCCCAAGGAGCTGGGCCTCGTGGGGCCGCTGGAGCAGGTGACTTTAAATTGAACAGGCTTCAGCACAGCCTTGTGATTGGGAAGCGGCCCTGCAACACCGCTGGGCGCAGCGCACCTGACGAGTGAAAGGGCAGCCGAGAGACTTCTTACGTGCAGCCAGACAAGGTCAAGCTGCACTTGGAAATAGACTGGGCACAGACGGACCTTGGGGTGAGACCCTCCCTGGCACAGTAACAGCCACTGCAATTAGCACACCCTGCTGCCCCGTACCGTGCAGCACAGTCGTCTCGGAGGACAACACAAGCGTACAGAGAGTGGTGCCTGTTGTGGAGGCAGGAACCATTGTTACTATTCAAGGCCCTTGCCCGAGATGTAGCTTACAATTCCGGCCCGGTCTGTTACCCTGGGGATTAAGCCCTCCGAGTAGCAAAGATTGAATGGATTGATTCATTTGTTCGTTCTGGAAGCAATGATGAATCACAGTGCATGGGGCCGGCCTGCTTTCCCCGGCCGTGTTTAGCCATCCCTAGGGGGGGAAGGATCTCGCTGGCTAGTGTCTCTCAAGGTTGGTGGCAAGATGGATTTGAGAAGTCCCCGTCGAAAGCAGCAGCCGAAAGCCGAGGTCGTGGCTTTAAATGGATCCACGTTGGGCATTGTAGAGCTAAAGCTCAAACCCGACTCTTCTGTTGCCCGCGCTCTGCTGTGCCTGGCAGGTCTGTTACATGCAGCGTAGTCGAGGGTGCAGGATATGGGAACTTTCACTCGTCGTTCCTGGCTGGCCTTGGGTTCACCCGGAGCCGGATGGGTGTTTATCCAAGGGCCGTTGGGCCCGGGTACTGGTTGGCATCTCTTTGGGGCAAATCCCACGCCCCTCTCTCCTAGCCGGTGTAGGACCCTTGTCTGCCATGGAGCTGGTGTGCTTCTGCTGCCTGGGATTTGGGGATCATGACACCCCCAGTGCTCCCTGTGCCCCAGCCCTCGGGGGGTATTTAAAGCTGGGACTGCTGGCTCTGCAGCTACACAGCTCACGCGCCTGCCCGGACCCGGGGTGCCAATTCCTGCTCTCCCAGCCCTTGCTCTGATCCCAGGGGGGCACTGCTGCTTGAGCTGTGTGCGCTGGTGCTAGAGTTGAACCCTTCGGATGTTTTATTTGTCAACCTTGGGATTCACAGAACCAATGCAGCCTTTTTAGAGTAGGCCCTACGCATAAACAAAGCCGTTGTTGGTTGGTTCCTTTGTTCGTTGCTAGAGCACTTCTAAAGGGAATTATTGCGCGGGTCCTAAGGACAGGCCAGGGGCTTCCCTGTACCATGAACGCGGACTCTGCCTTTGATCTCGTCAGGGCTCTCAGGCTAAGCAGGCTAAGGCCTGACCAGTACGGGGATGGGGGGCCTTCAGGGAAGACCCTCCGGTGCTGCAGGAGGGTCTGTGTTGGTGGCACTCTTTGCACCAAGAGAACCCCAGCATGGTGGCAGAGGCTCTGTGCCGAAGGGGCCAGGCACAATGGACAAGACCGCTTTTGCCCGTTCATTTTGGGTGCTTCGCGTGTCCTTAAAATGGTGCTTTTCATGGGGCTTGCGATAGCCCCTCTTCGCCAAGCGGGTTAGAAAGAACGTGGCAAGCGGCAGGCAAAAGGCAAAGGAACATGGACCGACGCAAGGGCCGGCCGGTCACAGTCCCACCTGATGGGAGCCTGCTGGACCTGTGCAACATGTCTCATCCCCAGGGCTTGCGGGCAACCGGATGGCAGCTCCCTAGCAGGCCAGCCCCAGCCCAGCCTGGCAGTGGGGGAGGCGCCAGGGCCTTATGGACATCTCAGTGGGTCAGAGGGAGGAGCGGGGTTAAGCTGGCTTATTTACATGCAGGCAGGGGAAACCTTAAAGGGGCCACACGCCCCGATACAGAGCTGCCAGCTAGATGCAGTTTTGAGGCCGTTGGGCAAACGAAGTCCCCAGACAGGCAATCCAGCATGTGGGAAGGACACAGACTTGTAAGAGGGTAGCATCCTGGTTCAGCCGCACTGGCCTGCCTGCTGCCCTGGCAACCTGCACAGTCCCAGGGGGCAATACAGTGGCCACCAGGGGCTGTGATGGTCTGCTCGGGCTGCAGGGCACTCATTAAGTGAATGGCCCTTGGCACCCCCACCTCAAGCTGGGGTGGATTCTCTCGCTTCCCACACCTTTGTACACTGTGAGCGCAGCTGGCCTTTGCATTCCAAGGGGAGGCTGGTAATTTCCCTATGTTTGGCCTCCTCCCAGTGCCAGACGTGTAACTAAATCTTTGGCAGTGCCCCAGGTTTCTAGATCTTTCACTACCCAGGTTTCTCCCTCCTTGGTTCCACTGGCTTCTAGTGGCAGCGTTAGCATGTCTCTCTCCACAGTGCCTGTGGCAGGCGTGTTTCTGTGTGTGAACATTCCTCTGTATTGTACTGACTGGACCTGTGTCTATTGCATATAGTGTGTGTATGAAGCAGAGCCATGCGGTAGCATTGCATAGAGGAAGGGTGGTCCAGTGGTTAGGGCAATAGCTGGGGAATCAGGAGACCTGGGTTCAGTTCCCTGCTCCACCAGGAACTCCTTGTGTGACTTTAGGTATGTCACTTGGTCACTCCATGCCTCAGTTTCCCCTTCTGTAAATTGGGGGTAATAGCACTACCTGGTCTCACAGGAGTGTGGGGAGGATAAATACATTAATAATGGGGAGGGGTTTAGATACGATGATAATGAGGGCCATGGAAATACCTTGGCTGATGATTAGCTCCTTCCTACCTCTGTGCCCCCCCTAGTCCCAACTACTATCCTCCATTCGTGCATCCTGGTGCTGCTCCATCTGCCTGCAGTTGTCAGCCCCTGGCTTGATGCCTGACCTGAAAAGCTTCTGCATGTGAGCCCATGATTAGCACTGATTTCCCCCCCCCCCCCCACCCCCGCGCTCCTCCTTCCAGCAGTGGAGTTGCCTCGGTGAATACATCACTGCACTTGTGTCTTGGCTCCTTTGTTTGGGCCCCTCCTGGCCGTCTCTGCGTGTGCATCCAGCCCATCCGAGCCTGTGGGCTCCAGTTCTCAGAGAGTGGAGGGTGCAAAGAGCCTTTCCCCATCCCCGTTAGCCCCCCGGGTAGGGACCAGGCATCACTGCAGCCATCAGGGAGGAGGGTACATGCTTTCATCTTCCGAAGGGGTAGAGCAACTGGCTTCTTGTCACTCCCTTGTGGGGTGCTGTGACAGTGCTGCCCCCAACATGCCATCATGGTGCGATCTGGCCTCAGACCCACAGAGCTGTCAGCGTTGTTGGTAGCTGCAGCTACAGGCCCCAAGACTGCTGGGTCTAATGCTTTGCACCTGGAAAGAAAAACAGGAGCCTCTCGCTCATCCTCTTGGCCACGGAAATCTCGCAGACGGGTGCTGGTGACCATATCGTCCCAGCAGAGTTTGGTTTGTCCCTGGGGAGTGACCCAGCCTTTGTGCACCGTGCCACCCTTGTGAGCGTTTCTCTCGTTTCGCCCCCTCTGATTTTATTTTCCTGGTTGCAGGTCTCCTTGAACATGGGCGGAACTGGTCGGCCATTGCCAGGATGGTGGGCTCCAAGACTGTGTCGCAGTGCAAAAACTTCTATTTCAACTACAAGAAAAGACAGAACCTGGACGAGATCCTACAGCAGCACAAACTAAAAATGGTAAGCAGCCCGCCGCAGCCCGCTCCAAGCACCACAGATATTTCCCGGCAAACAGTGAAACAGCTTCTGACGTTCCCAAGTCCAAAGGGAAGTTTTTCTTCCCTGAGAATTTACTGGGTGAAAATCACAGAGCCCTGGCTTCAGCTGACAGCTTATAATGAGAAAGGGGGCATTTGTCCTTCGGCCCTTGGTATTTTCTGGCTAGGTTGGGGGCTCCTGTGGAACACAATGACCAGGTCTCGGACGCACACGTGCTACTCAGTGAGAAAAAAGGAGATAGAAAGGAAGGAATAGCCATTGTGTATTATGATGCGTAGCCAGATTGTGATCCCAGTTACAGCTGTGTGAATTCATTGACACCAGTGGAGTTGTACCAGTTTACCCCAGTGTCACGAAGATCAGAAGTGGACCCAGTAATGCTGTTCATTTCCAGTGCAGTCTTCCACTACCGCATGTCCCATGGTAGCTCAAGCACCGAGTATAAAGAAATGAATGGCAAACTGACCACAAACAAACAACAAAAACCAAACCCCACAAGGTTGTCATCCCGTTTTAACGCTATTAGAAGGAAGGAGGTTGATTCCCAGAACAATCATTGGGATATCCAGGGACAAGCATAGTCCAGTGGCCTAATGACAGGAGTTCGAATCCTGACAGACATTTTGATTCCTTCCATGGCCCGGGGCAAATCACTTAACCTTTCTGTGCATCAGTTTCCCTGTGGTAGAAAGGGGATGATAATACTTTCTTCCCTCGCAAAGTCCAGGGAATGAATTAATTGGCGCTTGCCAAGCACTCTGAAGATGCAACACGCCACTACAGATCTGCTAAGTATTATAATTATAATTTCATTTGCAGAGGACCCTGGGGTTCCGAGCTTCCTGGCTAATAGAATTCACATGGCGTAACCCCCCAGGGAGTGCTTTGGAAAGGAAAGGGACAATGTTCAATACAGGAATCTCTCCAGCAAGCTATTACAGTGCGAATAAAAAGACAAGAAAACACTCAGTGACTCAGGCAGGCACTGAATATCCTAGTCACTCTGTAGGAACAAGAAGTAGAGCGGGCAGTGGTGATTCTTTTGATCATTTCTCCAAGCTGAGAGATACTGCTGTGTTCCTGTTTCACTGAATTGTGTTAGAAACAAAGCCAACAACCGGTACAAAGAAAACAACAAAAACACCTACCTAAAGAATGGGATGAAACACTCACACAGACACACAACCTCTCCGAATAGAGCTTTATATTATAAAGATCTAGTGTTCGTTCCTTGGGAGAATCGGAAGTAAGATCGCTGAACTCAGTAATAGAATCGGAGCTGAGTATATTAATTTACTCTGCTTCCTAATATTTCAGAAATTGCACTGCATGGGCGTTTTTCTGCAGAACCAGTTTTTCCCTCATCCTTTTCTCCCCCATTCATATTGTTCACTAGCGCGTGCAGTTTAGATCATCATCATCATCATCATCTAGTCTTTTAAGCGCTGGGGGCTGTGGAATTTAGGTTTTGTATAAGAACAATGAAAGCTCAGCTGTTATTTATTGGGTTCTATTGTTTTAGGCAACAGCAGATGCCATAAAACTGAATAAAATAAAAGAACAACTGAGAGTGGATTTCCACAGACTTTCCTTCCTAACTCCTAAATATATTCACAAATAAACCAAACCTCCTGATCGTTTCCTGTATAGAATCTGGGCATGCAAAATAGTCCGCTTTGACCGCCCTCTCAGTGGAAGCAGTCAGAGGTCATGCCAATATGTCATCAGGTAATTTTGCAGTGAAGTTTCTAGCTTATTCCATGACCTGGATGTCAGCAGCTATTACTGATCTCCCTGCAGATAACGTACAAGGGAACGGACAGGCTCTGCATTCCCAGTTTTGCTAGAATGTTTATTTAATTTAAGGAGTTTAAACTCAGTGAGTAACGCTTGTTAATTTCTCAAATGTAACTTGTTTATGGTTTGTAGCCCCGTTGCTAGGATGGGTAGAATAAGGGTTTTGTTACAAACTCAGATCTCTGCCCAGCTTTGCTGAGGTCTCTAAAAACCTTCAAGTGAACCAGAGCTCAGTTTTGGGCAAACCTGAGTCGGTGTATGGTTTAGCCTGTGCCCGTGCGTGGTTTTGAATTACAGCCAGATGAAATGCACTCTTCCGGATGGTTTCATCCCAATGAAACTCGGTAGCTCCAAGTGATCTTCAGGTTAAGTCTGAGGGTTCATTCAAATGTAGAACCTAAAGCACGGCCCAAGGAACATGAGCCCCGTGCAAACCAGGACCACAGCAATGGTTTGCACAGAGCCCTGTGTCCCCAGTTTGCTGTGGCTAGCACAGCTGTAGTCTGCACTCATGCACAATGGGTGCGTTGGCCTGCGGCTGGTGATTTTCAGGTACTGCTCTCGGATCGGTGGGCATGCATGCCAGACTTTCAGTCACACCCCGGATTTGCCGGTGCCCGTGGGTTACGAGGGCGCAGCTTGGAGTCTTGCCTCTAAAGGGAGCCTCAGAGCCCGGCTGATAGACTTATGCTAGTGGGGCTCCCATTAGCATGCAAAAAATAACTGTGTAGCCACTGCGGCTTGGGCTGTCAAGCCCCCTTTCCCTCCACACACTTGAGAGCCCGAGCCACAATGCTAGTGCAAGCCCCGGGCTGGGAGGCTGGCTCCCAGACGCAGTGTAGACATACCCAAAAAGGGAATCGGCCAGCCTGTTCTGCACCCCAGGGCACCTCCCCACTGCCCAGTAAAGCCATTCGAGCTGCAGTCAGAAAGCAGGCCCATGGCAGCTCCATCCTGTTTTTCTGGGGCATGGATGGCCCATGGGCTTCCACAGCTTCTCCACTCATGCCGGGCTTGGGGTTTGAACTTTAAGGGCTGTCCTTTTGTTACAGAAAAGAAACCTCACCTGGAGAGCTGTTGAGAGACGGACTTTGTATACTGGGAGCTCAGGGAAGCGCTGTGTAGCCCTGTCTGCCTTTCAGCAGAGCTGTGAAGACTCCCAGACGTCCCTCTTTCACTGGCTTGTGACTGGAGGAGAACCCTCCTGGCAGTATTGGATTAAGACAGGACCAGATAAGCGGGGGGAGGGGGACCTCATATTTAACAGCCCCACCCCTGAAAATACACACCTGCAGCTGTATGTTGACAGCCACCCCATTGGGCGGGGTCCCAGCCCAAGAAACACATCAGAGGGGTCGGTGCCTCTGATTAGAGTTGAGTCACGCCACCTTTAAGCCTCATTCTAAGTCTCTGCCTCTGGGCGTTTCGGCTCAGTTCTGTTGCGAGCACCTGAGAGCTGTTCTTGGCTTCAGCCTCGGTTAGTCCTGACCTTCTGCGCGCTGATCTCTTGTTTCATCAACCACAGCAGTCAAGGGGAAAATGGGGCATTGTGATACAGAATGTTCTTTCAAGTTGCTCTTTCCCTGAGCCGTCGGAGCTCAGAATCTCTCTCCCCGAGTGGGTGTCTGCCACTTGTGCTGGACTTGCCTGAGGCCAGGGAACGATATGGCTCATATTAACCTATCAAACTGAAGGGTCCCTACAAGTCCTTGCAAGATGTCCACAGGGCACCCAGCCGTGCGCTTTCCGCGATCAATTAAGACGGCGCCTGCTCCCTGTTAGATGCTGCCTCAGAATCCGGACAGCTCCTAGACGGGCAGGATCCTGGTGCTGATCCCAGCGGGAGAGAGCTGCCCTACTCAACCTTCTGCTTTCCCTTTGGAAGGGGGGAATGAGCTCTTTTTGCTGCCCTGGAGGCACTGTAGGCTGGGGACCCCGTTCACTCGCTCATCCCGTGGGCTGAGGGAAAGAGACACATCCAGTCACCTTTTCCTATTGAAAGGCGGGCTGTCCCCTTCCGTGTGTGTCTGGGCTGTGACTCCCAGCTGTGGAACAGAGGCCACGATTCCTCTGTGCAGGTGGGGCCCTGTGGGGACCGCTCCCCCTGCTAACATGGAACCTGACCCAAAGGCCATTGAAGTTGGAGCAGGACTAGGACTGACGCTGGGTTATCGTATTGGGCAGAGGTTGGCGTTTGCTGCTAGAGCGCACCGTCCTGTGACCCAGCCCGCTGGCCAGATTTAGTCCACCCTTCTGGGGTAATGGAACGTCGAACATAAAATGGTCCAAGGTCCTCACAAAACGGGCCCCACCCCTGGGCCCTGTGGTCCTCACACCCTTCTCTCGGGGCTTTCTACTGTCTCTGTCCCCTTCTCAGGGGCCAGGACTCCCAGGGTTTTCACCTCGATCCCCTAACAGAAATCCCAAACCAAAAGTATACAAACTCAAACCAGATTCTACCTGTGGCCTCTCTTCCCTCTCTGCAGCAGTGTTCCTCCACTGAGCACCTCCCCAGGCTCCCTCCCTGGTCCTCCAAACCTGCCCTTTGATCAGGGCTCACCACTCCACTGCTTGTCTCTCTCCTGTCCTCGTGCCAGACTTCCCCACCCAGGATCCCTGAGCTTCCTCCTTTCTCATTCCAGAGCCTGACTGCAGAATCTCTCCCTTCTGCACTAAACTTCCTGCTTACCACCCAGCCCCTTCCCAGCTGGGCATGGTCTCTAATTAAACCTGGCTCTCTCCCTCTACCCCAGGTGCCAACAGGTAACACAACTGGCCTCTCAGGTCCCCATTCACCCTTTCTGGGCCTGTGTGGGGTACACACTCCATCGCGGTTGGCCTTAGCCCCACTTCTGATCCCAGTGCTGGAATACGCATGACCCTGCCACGCTAATTCGGGAGCGCCGGCGTCATGCTTTTAGGGAAGGCTGAGACAGCTGCTGATGGGGCATAAATATGATGACTGTTCTGTATCAGGAGCAGGGCTTTTTAAAGCCGCTTTGGCTGCTCGCTCAGTGTCAGGTGGTGATCCCGTTGTCCGGGCTGTGGGGCAGATGGCCCAGAATGATGTCACACTAGCAGGTTGTGTCCTGGCTACTCCGGGTTGTTCCGGGGGTGGCGGGGGGAGGGGGAGAGAGTGAGGAAGGCTCCAGTAACACCAGACAGCTTGGAGAGGAGGTGGAGAAGAACTGCTGATTCTCACCAGACTTGGAGACAACCGAATAGAGCTGGCTGGAAACCAGCCACCTCAGGTGCCTGGGTTGGCCATTCTCCCCATAGGAAGTGGAATGACACACTAGGCACTGCGGAGTGCTAGGAAATAACCTCCCGTGGGAGAAGTTCAGGGTTTGGTTTATTCCCTTTTGACATAGATGCACGTAAGCCAAAGACTGCCGCGCAGTCCTGCTCGAGCTATCCCCTACGTTCCAAGGGAAAAAACCCTCTCGGATGAATCTAACAAGTCACTTTTAATAGGACACGCTGTACGTTGAGCACCAAGGAATAGGATGGATGTGAAAACCACTGAAGTACCGATAACAGGTCTCAAACTGAGCCCAAGGGACCAGAGCTACTCAGTTACATACCAAAGAAAGGAAGGAACGCCACTAAAAGCATTTAATTCCTGCAGCAGATATGAGCTTCACCTTACCGTCCTCTCATTTATTTATTCTTTGTATCTAGCACCCTTGGATTTGGAGACCTACTATGCTGGGCACTGTCCAAACACATCGTTCTATGGACAACCAAATTTTGCCTTTAATGCTAAATTTGACCGAAGCTTCTCTTCTCCCCACTTTCGCTGCCATGTGAACTGACCTAATGTCAGATGATACGTTTGTAGTGGCTAGGATCGCCATCAGGGATTAGGGACCCATTGTGTTAAGATAGGCCACCCCTGCCCCTAAAGAACTTTCAGTCGAAGTATATGATGACCGCAGATGGGCTGCGTTTGATGGAGTTACAAGGCGACGGACTTAGAGCAGGGATGAATTTGGCTGGATGTGCCTTGACCAGAACCGAAACCTTAAAGCAGAACATTTGTGCATGCGGCTTGAGCCTGTCACTAGGTATGCCCCCCCACCAGCTCTCCTTTCTGGATTCAAATTGCTTCCATTAAATATCTCACCCTTGTTACTTCACTACGCAGTGGGTCTCTCGCAGCCCCAGAGGCCTGCCTGCCGGAGCGTTCATCTCTGCATGGGCCAAATCCCGCTGCTTGTCATTTAGTACAAACGTAAAAGCCAAGTCTGGTGTTGATGCAGGGGCTTGTTCCCAGCTAATTTCCCAGCATAAGATCCCACTCGTCAGCTCAGCTGAGTCACAGACACATGAGTAAGCGAGGCAGTAAGGTGAAGAAGGCTTTGCCATAGTAACGCAAGAGCTTTGTCATCACATTAGCATTATCTGAAGCCCTAACTACAAGCTGCTTCTTCAGACAATAACATACAATTATTGAATTGTTCCCTTGGCACAAGTTGAAGCTCTGACAAAGTTCTTCCCGGGGGAGCGGAGATTGTGGAAAGAATGGGGTTACCGCAGAAGTGGGTGGGTCGGGTCAGGGGGCTCTTTGGTTCCATGTGTAATGCCTCGGCTATCACGTAACTTCCACCCTCTCCTGCCCAGTTCGATACAAAACAGTTCAAACGGCAGTGTTGCCAAGCAAAAGCAGTTTGTGGGGTGTTTATCCAGCGGTTTTTGAGTTTATAGCGAAAGAGGGAAGGTATCAGACCCCCCCCAACCTCAAGATCCAAAGGTAGAGTTTGCATTGCTGCTGCAGCCTTCATTTTCCATCCATTTAAATAAACGCTCTAAGTACGTCATTTGAGTGGGGTGAGCAGAGGGAGCAGCAGGTGACGGGCATGTTCCTACTGGTTATATTTATTTCCGTAATGACACCAGGAAACATTAGCAGAGACGAGACTCTTGATTCAGGCCAAACAGTTTATTGGAGGTAGTAGTGTGTGTGTGTGTGTTATACGTGTTTAAAGAGGAGAAGAGAGGGTATTGCTTTGTGGTTCGAGGAGGAAGAGAGGGCGAGGAATCTCAACTCCCAGATTCTGTTTACTGCTCTGCTGCTCGCTCGCTCTGTGACCTTGGGATAGTCACTCAGGGCACAATTTTTCAAAAGTATCTACTAAATTTGGGTGTCCAGCTCAACTCACCTGGCACCTGATTTTTTCCAGCGTGCTGAGCGCTCAGAGTGGCCACTAACTTCGTTTCAAGACGTGGGTGCCCAAGCGTGTCTGAAAATCAGGTCCCTTTAAGGTGTCTCAAGTTGGGCATCCAAAAAATGGAGACACCCACGATGCTGACTAAAGTTTTGTCATCTGTAAATTGGCTTAATAATACAGTGATAGATATTACAGGCCCAGTTTATTTTTAAACATGGCCTCAATTTGAATTAATTGGGTGCCTAACTTCTTGATTGTAATTAGGTGTCTTAAGCTCAAAATTGTGCTGTGAAAACGGAGACCGGTTTTATCTTATCACATGATTGTTTGCAATGCTTTCCTGCTCTTACACTGCGGTATTGTGCAAAGACTAATGTTTTCTTGTGAGCCTCTCCCTCTCCAGCAGCCTCCTAAGGGTGGCGTGCCACTCAATTAGTAAAAGTTTCTCTGGGAAACTTGGAGGGCTGGTACTCTGCACGTGTATGCCAACTGTAGAGCAGATGCGTCCACCCTAACTCTCACTGAGTAGGGCATTACTCCGTAAGTAGTCCCAATAAGTGAGGCACCCACTCAAAGTAAGGATGGCAGAATCTAAGAAATACATATCAATGTGATTTTCCCCTCTTTCTTACTCCCCCACCCCCACCCCCTCAACTCTCAAGATTTATTTCAGAGACAACCCTTGCCTGGGGATTAAAGTTGCTCTTTCTGTCATTTTATGAAGTCTCCCCTTGTGCAGTGCGGTCACTAATAAAGTCCAGCAGTGATAAGGGGGTAAAGAGAATCCAAGAATACGCAGTGTTTTATGTAGCCTGTTTCCTCCTTCCCATTGAGGAATACAGGGAAAGCACTGGCCCTGCAGGCCGAACTCTGCCTTTGGTTACTGTCGAGGGGTTAGTCTTTGACCCTTGGCTGCTTCTCCCACAGGAGAAAGAAAGGAACGCAAGGCGGAAGAAGAAGAAAGCCCCTGCCGTTCAGAATGAAGAAGCTGCCTTCCCTCCCACTGCAGAGGACGAGGAGATGGAGGTATCGGGGACAAGCGGCAACGAAGAGGAGATGGCCGAGGAGGCGGAAGGTGAGGCGTTTGAGGGGCGACGGCCATGGGGGGAATTGGCTTAGGTTTGTTTGCTTCATCCCTGTACTCCTGGCTGCGGCCGAGCAGCCCTTTCTTGCCAAGGCAGGTGGCAGGAGAGGCGTTTTTGCCCTGCAAATGTCAGTGCTTCCATGGGTCTCCCTGGTAAGAGTATCTCCTGGGCGGGAGGAGCGGAGTGGCTCTGTCACCCTGAGGATATGCGAGGACGACGCTTTCACACCGCACCGAAGACACGGAAGCGCTGACATTTCTGGCTCCTCCAGATTTCACGGTCGCAGGGACTGTCCTCGGTCACAGCCCCGGTCTGATTCCTGGCTGCTGAAGGTTTATTTGTGTGAGGCCATGAAGCTCCATACCCTGGTCAGCTGATAGCCAGGATGCCCTCAGGCTGCAGTGGGGGTTGTTTTGTTAGGGGTTCGATTGGCAGCTCCAGTCCTCTGTCACCAGGAGTGGGAGAGCATGCACAGCGCCAGCCTTTCCCCACTGCCTAGCTCCGGAGGGGTTACCCGCAGACAAGAGGTTTATTGCTGCAGCCCATTCATCCTTTGGCCTCTCTCTTAGGCGGCCCTCCGGGAACCCAGTTGGTGCCATTTTGGGGGATAGAATTTTTGTTAGTTTCACTTTCAGTCACTACTGCTCCTGGCCCAAATTATCATTCCCACCCTAGTAGGACAAAACCCTGTCTCCTCCGACTGATCCCTTACCACTGGACATCTCTGGGCTGGTCATGGGTGTCATCTTGCACATCCTTAGGTTTTCCATCACCCTAGCGAAGAGTCCGCACTGTGATTGGCCTCCAATCCCCACGTCGCTAGGCCTTGTGCACCTCTAGACTTTTGTAAATCAGATTGGGTTTCCTTTTAAATAAAGGTCTGTTCACGCTGCGTGACCCCCAGCAAGGCATGAGGGTTGGAAAGCAGGTGCCGTGCGGGTCGAGGGGGGCATAGGGGCAGTCGTAAGGCAAAGTAAGCGTCACTATCCTGTCCGCTGTCCCAGGCTGTGAGTCACCAAAGCTCTTCAGCATGAGGCATAACTTAAGAACATGCTTAAGTGCTTTGCTGAATCAGGAGGGGTCTTACTCACATGCTTTAAGTGAAGCCCAGGCTAAAGTGCTTTGCTGACTCCGATCCCCCACGTATGAAGCAGCAGGAGGGCTGGTAGAACCAAGATTGCCCCGTTCTCTTTAGCGCATCGCTTTTATGACTTTCCTGACCTAAACAACAAACATCCCGTGACTTCTGCTTTGGAAAGTCCTTCTTCTTCGTGGCAGCAGCACATTCAGTAGCTGCTAAGCCCCAGGGTCAGCACACCTCTGTATTTTTTAATATCTTCTTTCAGGCAGGCAATTTCCGCTCTCCCATTTGAGCAGAAGAAGGGGAGTCAACTGAAAGTGACAGTTTTAGCTATTTCTGGCTCAGAAACCTCAGCCGCGAGTTTGGGAAAATGTGTGTAATTTACGGCAATGGTCCCATTTGACTTTTGTCAAAGTAATTTAATAACTTAACCAACAGTGCTGGCCCCAAGCTGAGCCCTGGCCTTGGAGACCAGGCTAATGGGACTGGAAATTGCAAATCTTTTCAAGTCTTTGTTGAAAGTGACTCATGATAAGGCAGGTGCCAGGTAAATCTGCGCTGGGTGATCTGTGACTAACAGACCTAGTGTAAGATGTGGTTATTGCTCTTTGTGAGAGCTGTTCAGAGTAAAACCATGTGTTTTAAGATTAAAGACTTGAAGACAGATCTCTTGACACACTTAGAAGCTTTACATTATTACGGCTTCAAGTCCCATCTCTTATTCATCCTGTGAGGCAGATGGGACTGTATTTCTGAAGTGGGCTACTGAGCTGAACAAAGCTATAAGCCAAGTGGATGAAATGTCACAGGAGCAGAAATAGCAGCAGCGGTATGCTTGAGCAGTTTGCCTAGCTCCCCTGTGACATTTGGGAATGCATTTCGGCGTAATGAATACGGACCGGAGGGGAGGGCTTTGGATGAATTTGTTGCGTGATTAATTGTCTGTGTCCGAACTACCTGGTTCGCGAGCGCAAAGCGTACGTACGGATCACCTAACGCTTCAATGAATGGGCCTCTTATAGCAAAGCCAGGCCGGATAACTAACTGTAGGATGCACCTCACCAGCCAGTGCACAACTCATTTGCAATTCAGCTCCCCGCGCTCGCAGCAGGTTCGCAATATTGGGAACGAACCCATGGAAATCTAAAGCCTGGTTGAAGCAGAGGCGAAATGTCTGCAGACATCTCTTCGGCCTCGGCAGACCCCATTTCACTTTGGGAAGGGAAGCGGGTGCATTTCTGAGCGAGGCTTTGGCCAAATACACCATAAATCTCTGGCCGGCCTAAATACTGTAAATTCCTGACCCATCGTCCTTGGGTGACTGTTTCACTGATTTATTATAAGTAAATAAACATCAGGGAAGGCTGAAATTCCTATTGGCCTTGGGGCATTTTTCTGCCAAGAAAGTGGAATACTTTGGATGTGCTCAGACGTAAAGCTATCAGAATACTGTTCCTCTGCGTCCATCCATTTTGGATATAACTTGAAAGCCTTGCAGACCGATACAGATCTTGTCTGGAAGGAATCCCACCTTCCCTCCCATCCTTACTGTATTGAGGTGGAGAGCACTGCCCTTAAATCCCGAAGCAAGTTCATCTTGACCCTACACCTCTGACGTTCTGAGATATTTTGAGAGTCCTCAACTCCCACTGATGGAGCACACCCTTTCCCTTGGGTCAGGAACCCCCTGAAGGAGTTGCAGGCCATCTTGCCAAGGCACAGTTCACTCCAAATATTCCTTCCTTTGGGCCAAAGAAACAAAAGCCGTCTCCGCTCTGGAACGCCTCCCTGCATCTAGTCGTGAGTGTTTTCAGCTCAGGAGGAAGCCATTTCCCATAGATTTGGGGATGCTTAATCATTAACCTGTCCTGAAACTCTGGGATATTTTTCCTCCGGCTGACCCTGATCTCCTTTCTTTTCATATTGGCTGCTAAACAAAAACGTGTGGCAGGCTCCTTCTGCTGCCATGGATTTCTTTATGGCTGGGCTGCGGGCATGGGGGAAGGCTGGTATCCATAGTCATAGTGATGCAGTCCTGGGAGGCAAGCAGAGAGGTTGGAACCTTGGCTTAGGCCTTGATCACACTGGAACTGGCCCCGATGCCTTGACGAGGGCTGGTTGGAATTTCGAGAACGATGCAAAGAAGAGTGAAGGGAGCAATTTTAAATGTGCCATTGGTTCATAGGGCCAACAGAGAGCTCCCGCCTGCCTGGTTTTAGACACAGGGTTTTGGCTCTTGGATTCATGACCCTGTCCCTTGGTTTTTAAGGCTGGGCTCCATTATTAGAATGGCACCCAGCCTACAGAATGCACTCAGCCCAGGCAGAGAGAGGAGCATGCTTCTTTCTGTCCCTGATGTGTTATGGACAGTGTGGGGATCCCAGCACTTTGCTGTCCAGTTCAGAGACCGGGTAGGTCGACAAGACCTTCTCCCTCCTCTGACCAGAAGGTGTAGGGTTTGGGAAGGAGAGAATTCCCCCTCACAGGTGGGGGAAGGGAGTCCCTGGAACCCATTTTTATGTGGGGTAGCGGGAACAGGAGAATATTGCTCCTGTATGGGGTGGGCCGGGAGAAGGTCAGACCACGGCTCCACTGTGGGGGGAGTGCAGAAGAGATGAGGAAAGTAGCCAGGAGGATGAGCTGATGTCCCCGTCCCACGCAGTTGGGGCGGGAGCATGGTGGGAGTTAGACCTGAAGGACGTGCTTTGCGGGGACAAGCTGGGGCTGCTGGTTCCAGACTGAAAGCCAGTGACCCTAACACACAGCATATGGGAGATGGGGATTTGATGCGTCCACCAATTGGAATTGGAAAGGGTTCAGAAAATGGCAACCAAAATGATTAGGGGTATAGAACGGCTTCCGTATGCGGAGAGATTAATAAGACTGGGACTTTTCAGCTTGGAAAAGGGGCGACTAAGGGGGGATATGATAGAGGTCTATAAAATCATGAGTGGTATAGAGAAAGTAAATAAGGAAGTGTTATTTACTCCTTCTCATAACAGAAGAACAAGGGGCCAGCAAATGAAATTAATAGGTAACAGGTTTAAAACAAACACAAGAAAGTATTTTTTCACTCAACGCACTGTCAACCTCTGGAACTCCTTGCCAGAGGATGTTGTGAAGGCCAATACTATAATGGGGTTCAAAAGGGAGCTAGATAGATTCTTGGAAGATAGGTCCATCAATGGCTATTAGCCAGCATGGTCAGGAATGGTGTCCCGAGCCTCTGTTTGTCAGAAGCTGGGATTGGGTGACAGGGCATGGATCACTTGATCATAACCTGTCTGTTCATTCCCTTTGGGGCACCTGCCATTGGCCACTGTCAGAGGACAGGATACTGGGCTTCATGGACCTTTGGTCTGACCCGGTATGGCCGTTCCTATGTTATGTTCTTGTTTTTCTCCCAAACACAGTCCTGTCTGTCTGGGCACTGGTGTTCTCCAGCTGGGACAGGGGAAAGCAACATGACTGGGACATGTACAGGCCAGATTTTCAGCTCCCATTGTTCCCGCGGAGGGAAGGGAAGCGTGTGTGTTGGGGGAGGGCGAGAGAGTCTCCACGGGAGCTACTGGGTGCTGAGCACTTCTGAAAATTTGGCCACAAATGTCTCAGTGAAACGCACTGTAAAATCCCCCTCTGTTCTGGGGTTTGTTACGGTGTGTATAATACATAACTGCATTGTAATGCGGATTCCCATTGGCCTGCTGCTAAAGCACTGGGCTGAAACTCAGGAGAGCTGAGGTCTATTCCCAGCTCTGCCAGTGGTCTGCTGGATGAGCTCAGGCAAGGCACTTCCCCTCCTGGGCCTCAATTTCCCCATCCGTAAAAGGGAGCTAATGATGCTGCGCTCCTTTGTAAAGCGCTGTGAGATCTACTGATGAAAAGCTCTAGATAAGATCAAGGCAGTGTCCATTTTTGTTTCTTGACATTTAAGAATAGTAATCCAGGAATGGGCCCCGCTTGCGGCTATTGCTCTGAAATATGGGGGAATCAGATAAAGTGGCTCACTCAGCTCCCAGACACCCAAAGCCTAAGCCCCACCCCTGGCAGTCGGGTCCCTCTGGGCCATTGCTGAATTGAATGTGCTGTAATGGAATGTTCTGGATGCTGGAGAAGGAGGGGGGGAAATAACAAACCATATGCTGTCGTCTGCTTCAGGTGGGACGTTGACGCTGGTGATTTCCAAACTTAGGGCTCCATTCTTGCTGCCAGTTGACACTGGTGCATCCTGCTTCCCCAGTGTGGTTACTCCAGCATAACTGGGAAGAGAATTTGGTCTTTCATAGGGGATTGAAAGTGTTTCACAAAGCTGGGGAAGTACCTTCCTTCTTGTGTCTGCCTCCTCGCCTCATGCTTGTGTATTAGATGTCTAAGGGGTAGTAATGAACGCTATAGAAATTGATTCTGGTTTGATTTCCTTTCAGCTGCAGTAAATCACAGCTCGGATACCGAGAGTATTCCCTCGCCGAGGCCTGAAGCCAAAGAAAGTGGAGAGAATGGGCCCAAGCCCACGCCTGGGCCTGGGAGAGACTCCGGTCCAGAACCTGCCCTCAAGGCGGAGGATGCTGATGCTGCTACTGCAGCTAATCCCACCGCTGCCACCACCCCACAGCCCCAGGAGGCAGCTGCTGAGCCAGCCAGCAGTGAGGAGAAGCCGCAGGAGGAGCTGGTGGTAGACGTGGTGAAAACGGAGGAGCCGGAGGAGAAGCCAAGCGAGGAGCCCTGCAAGAGCGAAATCAAAAAGGAGGAGACCGAGGACTGCCCGGAGGGAGACAAGGCGAGCGACAAGAAAACCGAGAGCGTCAGCAGCGCGGCGGGAGCAGAGGCGGCGTCCAAAGCTGAGAAGAAGGAGAGTCATAAACCAGGCAAAGCCGCCGGGCTCAACCCCGACAGCGACTCCAGCGCCACCTGCAGCGCAGACGAGATGGACGAGCAGGATGCCGTGGACAAAAACAGGTAAGAGGTGACTGGGAAGCAGAGCCGGCAAAGCAGGTTTGGCAAAGGGATCTGATATCCTCCCTGCCCGTGGGAGCCTTGGCAGCTGTGTGGCTGGCACGCCTCTTGCAGGGGAGGTTGTGCCTCGTGGCGGGGGAGATCTTTCTCCCAAGTACAGTGATGTGGAAGTGTGAGGCATGCATGGCGGATGGGATCTTTCCTGGGAAGTGCCAGTCATCGGCCATGGCTAGAGCCAGGAGGCAAGGCTAAATCCCGTGGGGTCCTTCTGCGTTCCCCTAGCCCTGTCTCCTTCATGCCTACCATAAGGAAGCTGATTCTGCCAGCCTTGCTCAGGCTGAGGTGCACCCACTCCATGTAGTGCCCTGGACATCAGCGAGACTATTGGTGGAGTATGATGCTGCTGTGCGTGAGGGCATGTGGAAGTGATTGGGGGGCCTAAGGCACAGAGCAGACAGCTCCAGACTCCTGAGCGCTACTCCCAGCTCTGCCTCTGACACGCTGTATGACCTTGGGCAAATCACCTCTCCTCTCCGGGCCTCTATTTCCCTATCTATTAAATGGGGATAAGGATAAGGCTTGCCTCCCTCGCAAGTGAGCTTGACAGGCCTAATTAACTGCTGTTTGGACCCCTAAGATGGAGGGGGGCGACAGAAGTAAAAAAAAAAAAAAAGGAGCATTTTTATTAATTAGGTCTTTGTCCTGAACCTAGCAATGAGTGCATTTGCTGACGAAGTAAGTCGTTCCCATTTCTAATGCCTGCCATCCCCATTCTCATCGGGCCAGCCCTTGTCTAAAGCTCTTGAATGCCTTGTGTCTTTGAGCCTTGTGCTGGCAACAGCTTCTGAAGGGAAAGTGGAATAAAGGGCACCACGCTGCCCTGCTGTGTCACAGACCAGCGATAGATGGCTGTGGACAGCAGTAAGACAGAGGTCACTGGCTGCAATACGCTCCTGTCCTTTATCGATGGCAGGCTCTGGTGACCTGTGATTTGTGGCTTATTGCATAGACTCAGTCGATTTCAGTAACGGCCATTGGGAGCCACACTTGTGGGCAGTTTCTCCTTCAATGGCTTCATACTGTTTGCAGGGAAGGAGCTGCTTTGATCTCTCATTTACAGCGTGGAGACGGGACTGGGGTCTGAATTGTTCCCGGGGCGGAGAGAGGCCATTTAAACATCTAGACATGAATTATCCGTGAGGAAAGCAGGGCAAGTCACCGGCCCACACATGCTGCAACTCTCTACGCCTCTGCCATGAGGAGTGTGATCGGACTTGTATGGGATCTCCTGTATTTGCCCCGTAGACCCTGGGGAAATGGAGACCTGGCTCCTCCCATAACTTGGGGCTGCATGTGGAGACAGGGAAGCAGCCGCAGGGTGTTTTAGATTAGCAAGGAGGTGAATATTCAGGATTTTCAGGGGTGTGGCCAGACTTCTGGAGGAGGCGGCAGGTACCTGGTCCCATCTGCCCTCCCCCTCAGCCAACCGATTCCTCAATCCCCAGCCTCCTAGAAAGATGTCATTTATAAAAACCAATTCTAAAATTGATTTTCCACCATTGCTCCCCTCTGCCTTCCATCAGCAGCAGTCGGTTCTATGGGTGAGTGAGAGCCCTCTCGGTTCCCTCCCTTCCCCTTGTGTGGAATTGCTTTTGGGGAGGGGGCCCCTGGCAATGGGAGCCTCCCCCCCGCCACACATACACAGAGCCAGGGAGGTGTCCCTACTCCCTGTGGGGAACTGGTTTGTGTGGGGGGGGGGTGGGAGGGGGGAGGCCAATTTGACAGCAAAGCAGGATGCGGGGGGCGTGTGGTTCAGGGCTAGGAAGCTGGTACTGAGGGCTAATAGCCTGGCTGGCCCAAAGAATGGGAAAGCAGCAAGTTCCCCTCGAGGCGCCTGCCCTCTCCAGCGTGTACTTAAGAGAGACAGATCAGCTCTCTAGGCTTTGCTGCTGCACTTGCATGGAACATGGTGAGGTTATTAGCGAGCACAGTTCGCAGAATAGAATCAAAGATGCTGTTTGTACTTCCTGTGGGAACGGCGGATTCTGCTGCAAAGCTGCTAAGAGACGGGGCTGCGGGTGAGTCCTGGCCGGGCTGCCTGAGGCTGCTCTGACACAGGGCCGTAAGACTGGCCCCGTCACTCGTGGCTTTCCTGCCACAGAGTTCAGGCCTGTTTGAATTTGTTATTCCTCCTTTAGGCAGAGGAAGGAGCCCAGCCTCCCCCCCACCTCTTACTAATCCCCGTGAGAAAGGGGGAGGGTGGCGCTCAGGTTGACTGTTAACCCAGCTTCACACCACAACAACAGCAGCATTTATCAGCTTCCCGGAGCCACGCTTTATCCCAGGCTCCCCCCAGAGGCAGCACATATCTGCCCTGGCAAACAAATACCAGTTTTCAGGGACGTTAAACATTAAACAGGCTTCCCCCGGGGCCTTGTGCCACTCCTCTTAGCAGCCACTGTGCTGAAATATGGGATATTGCAGGGGTTCCGGGCTTGGCTGCCTGGGAAAGTTTGACCAGTTATACCAGTATAATTAAACTGGTCTAGTTGTACCGGTATAACACCCCATGTGGACACACTCTTACTCTGGTTTACAAGTACCTTCTTTAGTCTTTAGAAAGCAACCCCAGCTGAACTGGGCAATCCCTTTTCTACCAGGGGGCATTCTACTGGGTTAACTGTGGGTACGTCTGCGCTGCAGTCAGAGGTCCATACCTGTGGGAAGGCTTTGCTTTAGAAGATGGCGTGAGAAGGCAGCAGTGAAGCCATGGCAGGATGGGCTTCAGTGCAGCCTGTACCATGCACACCCCGGCCCCATGCTACGTACTTGGGCAGCTAGCCCATGCTGAAACACCTTGACTTATAACCAGTGTGACTTTCCTGTGGAAATAAGCCCTCGGCTCTTATCTTTACTTTGGTTTGGTGAAGAAACTAGCCATCTTCTCTGGGTGCTGTGTGTGTGTGTGTGTGTGTGTGTGTGTGTGCGCGCCTGTGGGTGTGTGTGTGTATACCCGCGGGTGTACGCAAACACATGCACGCACAGAGTTTTGTCTGCTGGGATGCAGGAAGCTGTTTTCTCCCTCCTTTGCTCTCTGCTCCACTTACAAGTGCATTTAGTGGTTTGAAGTGTTTTGCTTTCTCCTTCAGGTGGGGGTGGGGTAGCTCTGCAGGATGAGGAGGGAAGGGGAGGACCAGGCTGGAGGAGTGATGCTTAGGGACAGCTGCGTTGGCTGCCCTCCATCGTTCTGCAGGTCGTGCTACTGAGTGGCAGGCCAGGGTGAAGATAATCACAGCTTTAAATCTCCAGAGTTAAAAATACAGCGAATTGTCTTCATATATATCCCTTTAAAAAGGCCGCTAGCCGTGCCAGTGACGAAGTTCAGCTGTCGGTCACACTAGACGTAAATGAACGTGCGATGCCGCGCGGATTTAGCCATTGCAAGTGTACAGGAGGCTGAGTTGTAAAAGTTACAGGAAGGCACTTACCACCTGTGCTTGGGAGTTATGTGCCCAGGAGACATGGTGCCAACCACTGCTACGTTGCTACCCAAGTACCCTGCTCCCTGGCAGCCCGGCAGGGAAAACGGGCCTAGTTCTGCAACTGTTCAGAAGCCTCTGACTTTTTGCACCCAGCCATGAGGCTAAGTATTTGAAAGCTTTGAGGAGGAATTTGGATTGACTACAGTGATGCCCATGGGCGCCAGGTTTGTATAATTTTTGATGGTGCCCAGAATGGGTCCAAGCAGAGCTGTCCCATCCATAGGACGGACTGGGGCAATCTCCCCAGGACCCATGCTTTGGGGGGCCCCGCTCTTCATGGGGATGCTGTGTCCTAGGCGGCCTGGGGAGTTAGTGGGGGGGCCTGGCCCCAATCCGCCCCACTCCGCTCTGCCCCGCCGGCCCCCGGTGTCACTTGGTGGAGGGGACGGAAGCTGGAAAGAGGCAGGGCAGGGGTGGGGACTTGGGGGAAGGGGGCAGAGCAGGGGCGGGAAGAGGCAGGATGGGGCTTGGAGGAAGGAGTGGGGCGGGCTGCGGCCAAGCCCCCCGCTGCTGCCAGCGCCAGGCCCCCCACTAGCCCCCCCAGGGTTGCCCTGGTCCATCCTATGGATAAATATAAACCCAACCATTGGTGGAGCTGGGCCCACATTCCTGAATATTGGTGGAGTACAGGCACGACAGGCCCATATAACTTGCCACCTATGGTGATACCCAACATTGCTTACTGCAGTGCGTGGATTAGTGTTTTGGGGGGTTCTCTGCAGTAGAATGAGAAATGGCACCATGATAGAACTCTTCATGTGGATCCACATGTCACACTTTTACAGTTTAGCCCCAGTCTTCCATCTTGTCTTTTTCCTGGGGTACGTGTGCACCCAGCCAATGTTCATCCCCCTTCCATGGTGCTGAATCGGGCACGAGATCCATAGGGACCCTGCATGTCCTTCCCTCCCTGATTTTTCCATCGCTCAGCTCTTTGGGGCTCGGTTGCCAATGTCTAGAGCATAGTTTGGGAGACCCAAAATTAGCAATGGAAGGTACGTGTGTGTGTAAGTTAGTGTCCTGGAGATGTCATTCTCCACTTCACACACATGCCGATTAGATGTGTAAAGTTCCAGAGCCCGGTTTCCGGACAGGTGGTTTACACAGTAAAGCGATGTCTGTTGCTTTCCCAGCAAGCAGAGCTGTCCACACGTCTTCATTTCAGTCAATTGGCAGTTTATGTAATTTACAGCCATTGTAACAATATGAATTATATGAATCTGAGGATCTCCAAGTGCTTTACAAGCCTGAATTAACTCTGCCTCCCAGCTGAGGGTTTAATTAAGTTTTTTAAAACCCAAGTGCCTAAATTTGGGCTTCTAAAGCCACTTTAGGCACACGAGGCTCTGGGGCCAGATCCTCAGCTGATGTAAAGCAGCTGCTGCTGGGGCGCTGGGCAGGTCTGTCTGTAGCCGGGAACTGCTGGGTGCTCCGCACTTTAGAAAATCAGGCCACTGAGCTAGCTATCCAGTGAGGCCATTTGTGGAGTAAAATGCTGCTGAACATGAGCAAAGCTGTCAGAATCCGGCCCTGCATTTTAACATCACTAGAACTGCCTCAGCAGGGTCTGTGACTGAAATCGCTGCTATGCCCTCAGCGGCGCTCCTGAGTGAAGTGCAGCCCGGTCTCGTTCCCAGACAGCTCGCCGCTCAGTCGGCCTGTTCGTCAGTGAGGGGATTGTGTTCCCCCCGTGGATTTTGCTGAGTTACCCGCTTGGCAGGGTTTGTGTCTAATGGGAACTGGCAGCCCTCACTGGAGGTGCAGCGAGCTCTTCCCGGCCAGTGGAAGCTGGGTGGAGATGGCTCTGGCATCAGGGCGTCTGGAAGTTACGTTTGCTAGGAAAGAAATGGAATTCGATTTTCGGGGGGGGTGGAGTTTTTTTGTTTGTTTTTTAAAGAAAAGACTCTGAGGTCAAAGTTTCCAAAAGCGATGAGCTATTTGGATGCTCAGCCAGATCTGCCTTGCAGGGGCCGGAAGGAAAGAGAGGGTGCATGGCCCAGCCTGAAAATCAGGGTCCCTTCCAGTGTCTCAAGTTGGGCAGCCAAAAACTGAGGTCCCCAAAATCACCAGTCGCTTGAAATCCTGGCCAGAGTTTGAGCCAGTCGGTCCCTTACCTACACCTGTCAATGGCTTTGCATGGCCGTTGTGGGGCATAGGCCCCCTGGGGTATGTATCCTTTAACATTCCCACAGCGGTCGAGCTTCTAGCTTTCGATACACCACAGCTGGCAGATGCTGTGTATTTATTCCCACGACGGCTCTGATTAGCCACCCCTCTTCTCGTTTCCTCCTTAGAGAGCTCCTGGGCCAGGCTCCTGGGAGGAATCCAAGGCTGTGCATTTTGCAGGTCCTGCCTTGTAACCAGAATCTGCTGCAGGAGAAGGATTGGTGGGGCGGGAATGGAGCTAGGGCAAGGGGCGGGGAAAGGAGGATGGGCGCACAGCACAGAGATATATTTATTCCCCTCACATGGCCTCGCCGGACTTGTTTATCATCCAAGGTTGAACACAGAATGACCTTGAAATTTATAGACTGAAAAGAGCAGTCAGCTCGCAGCTCCGATAAACAGAGCAGGCTGTAAACCTTAAAACTCTGGACTGCTTCACCAGCTGGTAGTTGGGAGAGAGAAGCCGAGGGTCAGAGAGAGGCCTGGTCCCGTGGTCTGAGCACTAGGCTGGGAGCCAGGAGCTCTGACTCCCTAAGGCAAGTCCCTTCCCCACTCCCCAGGGGTGCCAGGAGGGTTCAGCTTTGAAGCTAAAAAGCACTGAGTGAGCTAAACAATCCCGGGGAGCGATGTGAGTTAGCAGCTGCCCTGCATAACACGGTGACCCCAGCGGCCTGTGCTGTGAGGACTCATCCCGCTCCTGCTGAGGCCAATGGCAGGTCTGTTGTGGAGTCTGCATTGCATTGCTCTGCAGCTGGTTATGGAGGGGTTCTGCGCCCTGCCCAGCCTGCCGGCCCAGTGAATACAGACCCTGGGCTACGAGCCAGTGGCCAGGCCGTTCACTAACACAGGTGAAGAAGGCAGCCCTGTGCGAGGGCTGGGAAGCAGAGTGTTGGGCTGGAGGGCAGCACTGGTGTATTCGTCACTGCAGCCTCTTGGCCAGTGTAAAGCGAGGGAAAGTTTCCTCCCCCCTCTTGTGTTCTGCACTGATGACTGCCTGATTTCAGCACACCCCCCCCCCACTCCCAACGCTCTGCCTTCCTCACCGCTCCTGTTCTCTTCCTCTCCCTCCTCTGGGTAATCACATGCGCACAGAGACACAGACACATCCTGAGATTTCCCAGGGTGCCCAGCCCGGAGGAGCAGCAGCATGGGGGAGAAGGGAAGCAGAGCCAGGCCTGCAAGAGAGGAGGCCAGGCCGGGCCAAACATGACTCAGACCCAGCCCTCCCTCCAAACACCACAGACCCTGCCAGCTTCCCGCCAGGACCACCCAGCAGCCTTCGGGAAGCTCAGGTGCACCAACCTGGCGATGAGCCAGCCTCTGAAGGATTGACCCAAAGGGCTGGAGATGGGGGCAGGGCACTCCCAGCCCTGGGAGGAGGGGGGAGCCCACTCAGACACACACTTGGGATAAATCTTTCCTGGCAGCTCTAGCCTAAACTCTTGCCGAGTGGCTCGGTTTGGGAACCATGCCCTAGTGGGGGGGCTGGTTTATTGTCTCTCGCTCTCGGGCAGGGAGCCTCCAGCCCAGCACATTGTGCAAGGATTGTTCTTTGCTTTTGGCTCTTACCAGTGAGTTAGAATGGCGCTGAGAGAGTTGGCTTGGTAGCCAGCCGGTCGCAGAGGGGCAGGCCCAGCCAGGAAATGCCCTCCGAATGCACCGGCTTGTCTCGTGGACCTGATGAGATCCTGTCTGACTGGGCCGGATCATTCAGTTCCTCACACCGCTCGGCTGTATTGAATCCGGATGCAAACTTTGGCTTTCTCTCGCTGTGAGAGAGATCTCTGGCCCTGGGCCTGCTTGTGATTTCACACATGCTGGTGAACTCTGGAGTCCCAGACGAGATCAGAACCAAGCACCCTGACTTCATAACTAACCGGCCTTCGGCATTGGCTCTGATTCGTCCCTGGGCTCACGCGAGGGTAATGCAGTGGCTTCATTAGCGTTACTCCTGATTTACTCTTGCGTACGTGAAAGGAATTGGGCCCATTGAGCCAAATCCCGTTCTTCGTACTTATGCCCGGGGTCCCGTTGGAGTCGTACCCTTCTGAGCAAGGCAGGCAGGGATCGGCCCGCTTTTCCTCTTCTGGAGCTGTATAATCCCAGCCCCCTATCCTGCCCTGCCTTTCCCGCGCCAGCTGCACTCCATGGCCGAGTAGCTCTGGCTGTCACAAGCTGCGCTCCATGATAACAGTGCTCTGTTATCTCCTAAGGTCGGTGCTGTTTACCGGGGAGGGGAGGTGTGCTGTATCCCGGCCAATGCTCTCTGTGCAGTAGCAGTGAGCAGTACCGCGGTGTGCGTACTGTTTCAGAGTAGGATGGTCCGGGACTTGTGCTACGTATCACTGATTATAGATCAAGGTCTAGCGAGTAAGAGCTCCAGGTACCAGGCCAGTCGATGCTGCTCCTCTCTGATGCAACAAGCAAGCAAGCAGACCCTTGCAGGTGGCCAATACTGAGACACTAAGTGAGGTATGGGAGGCGCTAGCCAGGAATATACGAAGTATATTATACACACGATGGCTGCCGTCCTGGCTGCCGTCCCGGGGACCTCCAGAGCAAAAAGCATGAGCTGCTAGAGCTTGAGCTGAAAAGCCAACGCTCCCCAGCTGAGACAGTAGCACTCCACTCCTCTGTGGATCAGGCTCCGAGGGGGGACCTGTAACGTGCGCTCCCCAGTGGGTGACGCGCCCACAGGCCAACATGCGTCGGTGTGCCGAGCTTCTTCTCTGCGTGCTAGTGAGGCCGATGACCTCTAGAGTCGTAATTAAAAGATTCCCCACCCCTCGCCTCCTCCCAGCACAGGCTGTGCGGGCACTGGAGCGTTCTCGCGTGTGGAGGTGGGAAGTACGTGGCTCCTAATGACGTGTGTGTCTGTGTGCAGGCTGCTGTCTCCGAGGCCCAGCCTCCTCAACGCTGCCACCGATGCCAGGCTGAACTCTTCGCCTCAGAAACCATTGGACCTGAAGCAGCTGAAGCAGAGAGCTGCTGCCATCCCCCCCATTGTAAGTACCGGACGGAAGACCCAAGTCACCTGATCCCAGGAAAGCAGCTTGTTCCCTTCCAAGTCCTGCATCCCGGGGAGGGGGGTTAAAACCCTCGGACTGAGGGCACCAAGCAAAAGTTTGCCTTGTGTACGCTTGGGCATGGGTTCCCGCCTCTGTGTGCGTGTTCCCATGTGGGCATCTATTGAGGGAGGACAGTGCGGGTTTCTGATCCGTTTGCACGGGTGTGAGGGAATGAGTTTGGGCATGGGCATCTGTGCTTGATTGTGCTCATGCATGGGCCAGGTGTCTCTCTCCATGGATGGGTGATAGCACGGGGGTGTCGAGCACGGTTCTCTGCGTGTGCTGTGCAAAGGGCATTTGGGAGCCATGTGGCATGCTCTCACTGGATTCTCTATAGACAACTCCTTCCTGGTTTCTTAGAAAGATCCCCCAGAGATGTTCGATTGTATCATGAGTTGCTTTATAAGAAACCTTGTCATTACTGTACAGCCATTTCCTTCCTTAGCTGGGGGGGCGGGGGGGAAACCCCAGCCCCACACACCTTTCACAGCCCAGTGTTCCCCTTTATCTCAGAATGCTAAGGACCAGATTGTGATGTCAGTTACACCATCGAGTCCACTGGGGTCACTGAAATCAGTCATGTCACCTAACGAGAGACAGGTGCTGTTTTGGCTGGTCCCACCCAAATCTTCTCTGTGCTCCCCCTGCTTAGCTATTCAGCAGCAGCTCCCCACAAGAAGGTGCATTCTCCACGTTGATCATTGTTGCTGGTGCCCTCATAACGAAGTAAAAACTAAAAGCAACCGAGTCATTCTTCACCACGCTCCAAACAGTGGCCAGGGAGCGGTGTTTGCAGAGTGGGACGTGGCCAAAATCCTGGTGTACTTTGGCGATCCGAAGAAGGCGTTTCAGACGAAAAGTTCACATCGTCCTTTCAGACATCTCTGTGCCATGAGATTGTTGCATAGTATTGAAACCACTTCTAAGCTGCCAGACCTGGGCTAGAGATTACATTCCTTAGACAAGGCAAATCAGAGGCTCCCCTGTAACATTTCCCAAACAGGATGATAGCCTTGTGGCAAAAGATAAACATGGTGCCTCACTCTCTCTTGTTTGCCTCCTGTGCTAGGAAGGGCAGTGGCTTGGTTAGAAACCCTGGGAGCCCAGCCTGGGGAACCGAGCTGAGTGTCTGCAGAGGTGGGGGAAAAGCTCCCCAGAAAGGAGCCGAGGTCTCGTTTTTGGAGTAAAACCTCCTGACAGACTCAGCTGTGGAAGTTAACAACAGCTGGCACAGTATGTCCCGCTTCTCCCATCCCATTCACTCTTCTCCCACTGCAGATTTCTGAGGGATTCCCAGACGGGACGTTACAGAGCGAAAGCATGAAGCCTCAGGTGCCTCACCACGCCTTGGCCCTCTACCAGCAGCAGATCACTAAAGCCCATGAATCTGCCCGGGACGACGTGGCCCAGAGCAAGCAGCAGCCTGAGCAGGAGCAGCAGGCAAGCAGTAGCCCCAGGGGGAAGAGCAGGAGCCCAGCTATGGGTGACAAAGAAGGTAAGATGCGCCCGCGCGTGGTTTCACAGAGCGGGGGCAGGGCTCCTGTTGCAGGTGGAAGCTAGCTTTAAAGGCTGATCGCGTGGCGGAGCAGACTCATGTCGGCATGGCTAATTGGCCGTGTTCATTAGGAAGTGCATCGTGTCTCATTGAACCTGGTAGAACGTCGAACGCTGAGGATGGGAAGGTTGCCTTTGTTAGCGGTTTGGAGAGTAGAGGACCTGGAGGCACGCCAGGACCCTGGTTTCAGTCAGCTCTTTTCTCCCTTGTTTGCTCTTTATAAAGAATGCTTTTAATGCTCGGCGGGGGCCATTCTTTCATTTCAAATCAATACTCGTGCTGTGACTTCCTGTAAAGGTTCTCGATGCTGTCCCCTCGGGATAGCGCTAACGAAGGATTCAGAGCTTCCCACCAGAGCATCAGGCCCCTGGGGGCCGCGGTTAAGGAGGACTGGGCACTCTTGCTGAGGCTGTTTGTAATTTCAAAGCTGGTTCCCGTCAGAAGTCTGTACGTTGCCCGGGCGTGCGCTCTTTAAACCCGTGCACCTTGATGAGAGGGTTTGAGGCTGTTCTGAATCTGGCCGGAACCTGCGCCGTGTTAAGTGCAGTTAGAATGGAGGCGGCTCGGCACCCCGCAGGGCAGGGTCTGTAGGTTGTGATGATACGTGGTACGGTAACAGATAGACGCTGTGGCCGTCAGCTAACCAAACGCCTGCCCCCCCGGGGAAAAGAGCTCGTGGCCTGGTTCCAAAGCCACACGCCTCTGTCACGTGAGCTTAAGCTGTCGGGGTGCCTGTGCTTGTACCTTCTTCCCAGACCCCCAGCCACTACAGGAAGAGACCACCGCAATCGCATCAACATTTCAGCAGCCGAGACGCCATCTATCCAGTGCTGCCAAGCCAGTACCTCACCAGGGCCTCCCCGGCCAGTGAGTGCGGTGTGCTTAGCCCTGCCCTGAGTGGGCAGCAGCAGTGCCCCATATCATGCAGGTTATGACAGAGTTGACGAGTGTTACTCACAGGAAATGGTTTGCCTCAGATCCTTAGAGAAAGAAGCCCCTTGACAGGAGATATTTGAGGTTGCGGGTGGGCGGGGGGTTGCTCTCCATGGTGATTTCTGTGGGCTGACGGTGCGTTGGATGGGCTGACATGCCATTGCGTGGCTGCAGCATTGTGGAATGGCGATACGAACATCACGACTTTCGGTGCCTTTGTCCCAGAGGACATCGACTATAAGGTAGCAGATCTAGGCATTGGGGATGTAAGCACCATATTGGGTCTGCAGCCGGACAGAAGAATTTTGTTGGCAGCCGTGGAATTTGACTCTCTCGTGCAAGAGAAAGGAGAGAGAAAATACACCGATTAGCTTCAATTTGTTGGAATTTGATCTCCGTTGTTGCTGAAAAGTTGGGTCACGAGAGCAGCTACGTTAGTTCAACTTCTGTCAGCCACGGTTTCCCAAAGCTGGCATGTGGAGTGCTGGCCCAATGGTTAGACAAAGAGTAGTGTTGCAAAATGAGTTACTTCCTAGAAGAGCTGATTGCTGGTTCTCAGCCGGCTGGCTTTCTGCACGATAATAAATAATAGCGTGCATAGCCGTACAGACTGGCAACAGGACAATAAAACAATCGGAATGTAAGGAAGATAGCTGTTCGTCTTGAAGGAAGTTGATACTCCGGTAAGTCATGTGATTGATACCTGTCTCACGCATACTCTCCAGCTTGTCCTATCCTGCCTTCTCCACTCTCACTTTCGTATATTCGTTACCCAGACTCAATTACACTCCAGTACTTCCTATGCAGTGCAAGTGATCAGGGCTACGCTTTTGCTGTTACACATCGCTATACAGAGCAGCCCGTCCCGCACAGCTCAGCTTCCTGTTGAGTCTCCTGGCAGAACCAGCACTTCCGACAGCTCCTTCTAGCCTGGAACCCCAGCAGACTATTCCTCGCTGGGCTCCCACGGCGCTGGGCTGCTTGGTCCATCTTCCCACCAGCTGATTTCCAGCTCTGATTTCAGGACCCGAGAGCAGCGAGGAAAGAGGGAGGCTTACCATGCCATGTGGAAGTGTGTAAACCAGGACATGAAAGTTCAGGTTTCAGGATAACCTTTAAACCTGATTGCACCTTTAACGTGCAGACCTGACGTCAATGCAGGTTTACGCAGCTTTGCTGTCTGCAAAGCACCTGGCTTAGAGTGCTGTGCCAGCACTGCTGATGCCACTCACCTAGCACTTTGAATCCTCCAAACTTGCTGAAGAGATTAGTTCAACTAATTGCACCGTGTGTGCGTATTATCCCCGTGCAGATAGGGAAGCTTAGGCAGAGGTGAAAGGAGATTGCCCAGGCCACTGGAGGAGGAGCTGGTGCCGGAGCTGGCAGGGGTTTGCTCATCCCACTACGCCGTTCTGCACCCTCAATATCCCGGGTGCCCGGGGATGGAGTTTTGAAGCAGTCACACATCCAAGATAGCGGGGTGAGCTGGAGAACTGCATGGCGTTCCCATCAACATACAGTAAATGATTGGCCCTGGGGCAGAACCCAGCTCCCTCTGGAGTTTGGGCTCCCTCACATACAGACACATCTGAACAGAGGGGTGGAATCCTTGCCCCTTTGAAGCCAGTGGGACTTTTGCCGTTGACTTGGATGGCGCTAGCATTTCACCCAGTGGCTCTAGCCTGGCTCTGAACCGTAGAGGGAAAGGCACCAGCAGCCGGTCTGGAAGGCAGCAAGGGAGCCTGTCGGTCACGGCAAAGCAGTGAAATGGGTGGGAGGAGGGGAGCATCCCTCCTCTCTCCTTTTATGGTAAGGAAATCGGGAGCCTCCTTTGAATGTCCTGTTAAAGTGACCGTGCACCAGGCATCCATCTGGACTCTGACTTGCCGTGAAGAAGACTGGACCTCGGGTACATGCATTGTGCTGCTGCAAAAGAAGAAGTGGAGCGACCCCGCTCTCCATAAGCGAGAAGTGGTCCAGGCCAGCTCCTAGCAGAGGGCTGGTCTTGCAAGAGAGGCTGTTCCTTCCTCCCCCCCCCCCCCCCAAGCTGTGAGATCTCTCCAGGCAATCAGATTGGCAGGGCCCTGCCTGATAAGAGAGCGTGAACTGTTGCAACTGCTCCAGAGACAGACAAGTTGACAAGTTTCACACCACCCTGGAGCCGTTTCAAAGCACAGTCTTGGAGGCCAGCATCACATCCTGGCCAAGGCGTTGGCTGCCCCCTGCAGACCTTTGGCTGGGGCTGTATCTGTCTGGAGCCCAGCCAGTTTAGTATCTCCTCCTAAGGTGCTTTGACGGTGCTGCTCTGGTGTGGGGCTGGGGGATCGCGGCCTGTCCGTTTGGAGCTTGCTCTCAGACAGATGGATCCTTTCCCTCATCACCGAGTGGCCATCACGCCTATTTTTGGCTATCGCGGGGCAGTTTTAAAGCCAGCAATGTGTTTTCTGTTGATTTAGTCACTTGGCCTTTCTGGAGATTGGAAGCCAAAAGCGTTAATTGGGGTGATGGATGATATAAACGCTGACTTCTCAGCTCTGATTTCAGGGGCTTGACAAATGGCCATAGGAACTCTTCCCAGGATAATGGCTGAGTTTAGTTACCTTTAATGTGGGGTCAATAATCAACGGGCCACATTTCACAGATCTCACAGCGGCATGTGTGTGGGAACAGCTCCCAGGGGAGGAGGAACTGCTTTCCCAAGATTCCCATGCTGCCTCAAGGTGCATGTGTGCTTGGCCACTAGTATCTTGGGTTTACAGAGCATCTTCGCCCAGCTGTACGATACCCAGACACCACCAGTGCAATGCAGCTGCCTCTGGCATAGAGCACAGCAGCCAGTCGGGGCGCAGCGCACCACACCACCCGGCAGTTGGGACGGAGGAGAGCTGGTGTCTCAGGACAAACGCCCTCCTCTTGTGGGAAGTGCCATGGGATCTTGAATGTCCACATGAGAACGTGACCGGGATTTCGTTTTCAAGGATTTTCCCCAAAGATCCCTCATGGTGACGAGCGTGGGGTGCTCCAATTCAGCTGCCCTGGGAGGGTGAACTGATCCGTTTGAGATGTGAAATGGGGAGTCTGGGTGTTTGGACCCTGAGGCTTAGCCCCTTACACCACCCCCTCTGCAATCTGGGGTACGTCTACACTCCATTTCAGGTGTAACTGTAGTGCGGGTGGTCGTACCCGTGCTGGCTTTAATCTAGCCAGCGTGGGTAAGGAGCAGTGAAGACAGCAGCACGGACCCTGGTGCATGCTTGTAATCTGAGTGAGTACCCTGTGTCCCCCAGGCTGCCACGTCTTCACTGCTATTGTTACCCACACTAGCTCAATTAAAGCCAGCACAGGTATGCATACCCAGAGCTCTCTGTCCCACCTTCCCTCGCAGTGCAGACATTGCCCGAGAGTCTCTGTGCTTGGATATGTACATAGACTTGCTGCTGATGGATTCTTTTCATCACCGTGTGAGGGGCAGAGGATTACGTCTCCCACTCCTGAGCACACCAAGTGTTAATGAGCCTTTTCGGTATTATTCCTATGAATGGGCCCTTTGCTAGCCATGCATCTCATCCCCCTTCTCAGCAAAGCTTTAATAGCAGAGTCAGAGCTGTAGTGAGGTCTGGCACTGCTAAAGCACCTTCCTTTTACACAGCACAGTGCAGAACCTTGGCTAGATAACTATTTTTTGAACACTTGGATGCTTAAAATTAAGCACATGCTTAAATGCTTTATTGAAGTGGGGCCTTAAGGTAACATTTCCAGAAGCACCTAAGTCCCGTTTTCAGAAATGACTTGGGCACTTTTCAGGCCTTCTTCATGCACCCTACACAGCGAGTTACTGCACAGCAAGCCGGGCTGAGACACTCCGACCCTCGGACTTGCCCTGTGGGAGGGCTTCATGTGGGCAACGAAAGCCTTGGAATGCAGCATGCTGTACTTCTGCTAAGCTACACTCTGGGGCATTCCCTGTGTGCTAGCAGCATCCACAGGATGAGTTAGTGGCAGCAAGCAGGTGCACTGCAGAGCCACACCCTGGCTTGTCATGCGGTAACTCACCGTGCCGGCAAGCCCTAACCAAAGGAAAGGAGCCCCATTTGTTGTTTCCCTTTGCAGGTCTCTGTAAGATCTTGCTGATTTGCAAGGCTGCGTTTGCGTGTGTGAGTTCGTGTGTGTGGCGAGCTGATCAGTTCTCTTTCTCCTTGCAGAAAAACCAGTGCCTTTCTCGTCACTTGCAGAGGGACCGAAGCTAAGCGGAGAGCAGACAGCCACGTCGTGCTGGCCCCCTGTGCTGCCATACCAAGTGTCCTCTAGGGATGTGATCAAAACCTCCCCGCAAGCTGAGCCACATGTGTTTCAGTATAACCTGCCAGGTGAGCACAGGCTTGCATTCTTCTTCAGGGGTCTGCACCTGCTACGGGGAGCCAGGTTGGTGCAGCCACTGGGGGTGCGTGGCCTAAAAGATCCAATGATTCTTTCCTCAGTTACCTCATTTAGTAAATTCATGCAATCGTTTTCTTCCTGATTGAGAGAGCTGCTGAAAGTTTGCCATTCAAAGGCATCATGCCAGGAGCCTAGCAACCCCATCTGATTTGCCTAGCGTGGTGCAGCCAATGCCATCTATAATACAGAGATGAGGTGTGGGAACTACAGATCCCAGAATGCAATGGGAGATGTGCAAGATTAATGGCCGCAGCGCCAAAAAAGCTACAGTTACAACCAGTCAACCTGCAGAATCTCTGTACCTGGTCTCTGTCCCTGTTCGGTATCCCCTGGTCTCAGTCTCGGTCTCTCTGATACAAATAACCATCAGTCCATAATAACATTTATGTTTTGTCAATAGCTCACCCAATCCCATTAAATTTGCACGAGAGCTCTCGGTCTGGGCTACAAAGATTGTCCAACATCTCCAATCCTCCCCCTCTCATCTCTTCCACCAAACACCCATCTGTTCTGGAGCGGTCCATCGGCTCCATTTCCCAGGTAAGATGCCATCCCAGTGCCGCGGTACTCTCACGTATGCGAGGAAAGAGATCTCTCTTTTGGCAAAGAGCAGGCTTGGCAGAATTAGATTGTTATTGTTTTATAATTTTGATAGATAATATCAATGTTTATTTTTAAGCATTGTTTTCAGTTTTAGTCAATTTAAATGTTCACAGTTGCAGCTAATTATGTAGGGATCAGACAATTATTTAATGACAGCAGACACCGAGATTCAAAAAGTTAAAACTTTATGACCATTAAAACACAAATTGTTAGCATCATTGGTCAATAGATACAAAGTAAATATCCTTAAATCAAACTCTAATAAGTTCTCAAGCAGCATTTTTCTTCCTTTGCCTCTCTGTGAATTGGTCTGCTTAGCAATGGAAATATTTTGTCTTCCGTTTGTGTGTGTGCGGTGAAATCAACGTTTACCAAATAAAAATCCTTCCAAGGGCTGTTGAGAGCAGCTTCCTGCCAGATCCCTGTTTTGATTCCTGGGCAGAGGGCGTGGTAGTCATTCAGTGGAGGTCTTTTTCCCTGAGCTTCCTCTCCTTGGTGACTGCCCCGTTCAGGAAGTGTCTTAGCAGAGCATCCCACACCGTCAGTGACCTTTTTCCCTTTTGTTTTAGGGGGTGCCCATTCAGCTCCATACGCCGTACAGCTCTGAGCATGCAAAAGTTCCCGTTGGCTCCATCACCATGGGCCTGCCATTGACTATGGATCCTAAGAAACTGGGTAAGCTGTTGACACGCTATCTGTTTGTGTGCCTCTGACCCTTGGCTCACTCCTGGCCTTTTTGTTGAAGGGTCAGAGCTGTCCCTGTTGAGCTGCTGTTAGCTTTGAATTGAGCGCGCATACACGAAGGGAGGGTGCAGAGCGTTGCAAGTTCACTGGGTTCATCCAGCCAGCAGTGACCATGAAATTCCTGTCTGATGGCCTATGGGAAATGGCGCGGTGGTCTCCTCTCGCATCCTAGTGCGCAGTTGTCTACAAAATCTGCCAACACACTTGGCTTCCTCGCTGGCGATCTCAGGAGAGGCTTGAATGAACCCTCTCTCAATGGTTTCTCCGGGCTCAAGGCGGAGACATATTGATGGGGCACTCACAAGGGGGAAGCATACCTTGTCACTGCCTGTTCTCTACTGGCTCTGGGTACGGAGGGTTCTGGTCCAGTTTTGCAAACCTGGCATCACTCAGCAGCAGGGATATCTGTAATTCTCGAGACGCTGCGCTTGCGAGCTGCTTTGAGAGGTTGTGAAGATGCTGTTCCACTTTTCCAAGGGGGGAGAGAGCTGCTTTAGGGGATCATCATAGCTCAAGTCCCTGCGGGTCTGGTTCCAGGATTCGGGCCCATAAGGAGACACCAGCATTTCCATGTGTGCATTTCAAGAAGATGTTCAACCCCAACAAGCAGTTACCGTTGGAAAGGAACCTATGGTACTGCCTTGCCTCCCTCACGTCAGTGTTACGTTCCAGAGCAATGTGTAGCCATCAAGACTGTGATCGGATAAATGCTTACTTTTTAATGGCAACCACCATTGTCCAGCATGAGAAACCTGTAAAGAGCCTGAATAAATAACCAAATTAGATTAAAAATAGATGGGTTAAGAATTAATTGATGACGAGGAATAACAAGGCCCCAAAATGAGGAGCACTGGTGAGGTGGGCGGGGTCTGGCACAGGCATTCATGAGGTTTGATATATTTTGATCAATCAAGAGAATAGTGAAATCAGCCATGCTGGAGTTAGCTAGGAGGGTGTGTAACACACAAGAGGAGAGAGCCTGCTTGGTGTGAGATGAGTCAGTGCTAGCTATGCACCAAGGGAGAGGAAATGAACAGCTCAGATATATCCCGGGGAATGGCTGTGTACAAAGACCACCTTCGAGAAAGGGATCAACAAACGACTCACAAACACCTAGTGCCAGGCTGCTGGGGAAAGGCCAACAGAATCTCCCTGTGTGTGCGTCGTGCAGCTGTATGTCTTAGAGAGAGAGATGCCAACCTAGGGGTGGAGTAATGCGACTCTGCTTGGTCCTGGGGGAATTGCACATGGGGTAGTCTGTGCCATATTGGCCCCCACCGCTAGAGGAGGATCTATAGTAAAAGAGCAAATACAAAGGGGAACAAAACCACTAAAAGGATTAACCAAGCATAAGAGGAGAGGCGGAGGGAGCTAAATTCCTGCAGTCTAGGAAAATAGAAGACTCAGTCAGGGACGTGATCCCGGACTAAAAATACCTTCCAGCTAACAGTGTGATTGATGGAAGGAAACGTATTGACATTCGCCACAGCTGGTGGGATAAACAGTAAATGGCCTGAAGCGAGAGAGGAAAATGTTCAGTTTGCAGATTTGGAAACATCTCGTAAGAGTCAGAGCAAGAGATTAAAGTCCTGAGGGAGGAGGCCTGGGCCCAGCACTGCAGAGAGTGGAGAAGGCATGTGCTAAGCCAGCAGAGAGAGTTCTCCGTGGGCACGTCCAGCCTGCCCAGCGCTAGAAGCTACTCCCAGCCCTCTTCCTCTTGAGCGGATTCCGCAGTCCGCTTGTCACTGTCCAGGGTTGTTTCCTGGCTGCTCTGAACTGTGAGATGGGTTATTGTCCCTCAGCTCTTAAGAACATCGGGCTGACCATAGCAGATCAGACAATTAGTCCATCAGCTCCAGCCTCCCATCTATGGCAGTGGTCAACGGGAAGGCAGCTGTGCTTTCAGTCCCCATAGTTCCAATTGCCCAGTGCTATGCAAAGGGTGGGAAATTTCTGGGCGATCCTCTGAAGTCCTGTAGCTGGGATCTGAGTACTCTTCTCTGAGTTTGCACAGCTACAATTATCAATGGATTTAAAATTATCCAGCCCATTTAAAAACCCAGTCCTGGCATTAAATCCAGCCACGGTCTGTGTGTTTGACTCTGGTCCTGCTGCAGGGCTGGGAGTGCAGCGCCGTGCAGGAGTGGATTTCAGGATCCCCTGCTGTCTTGCCTGCCAGGAGACCTTGAACGATGCCCTTGCGGAGGGGATAAGAGCAATTTGAGTTTTCCTTTATCATCCGTAGTTGTGTAATCTGCTACTCAGAAGCAGCAGCAGCTGCACGGGGACCTAGGGTTATTTAAGACCTGTCTCTTTCAGCAACTGTGAATATCGAGCTAGACAAAATTAAAGACTAAGCAAAATAATAATAATAAAAAAAAAGGCAAGAGAGCAATTCAGGACAAGCGCTGTCTGGTTTTGACCGGTGCAAACGTTGTCATGTATGATTAATGTTTTCTAGTGCCTTTTCCTGGAGTAAAGCAGGAACAACTTTCTCCTAGAAGCCAGGCCAACCAGCCTGAAAGTCTGGTAATGCAGACGTCCCAAGAGAGCTCCATCCTGAGGGGTAAGCACATAGCAGGGCAGCTGTGATGATCAGTGGAAACCAGGTACCTCTCAGGGAGGCTGCTCAGGAAGTGGAAGGGGCTCAACCTAGGCCAAGCTCTTCAAAAGTGCCTAGTGGTTTTGGCTACCCTTTAGCTTCTGCTACCCAACCTGAGACAGAGGACAGATGAGCCAGTCTTCAAAGTGCTTGAGACTGGGCACCTGAAATCACTATTCCCTTGTAAAAATCTGAGCCCCAAACTTCTATCCAACTTTTGGGGAGAAGGGATTTGTCCTCATTCGTTTTGAAGGGCAGTCTGCTAATGAAGAAAGCGAAGCAGCTGCTAATAAAATGGCACTGATTACATTCTGAACTCCAGAATCACGAGTGCATGTTGGGGACAGACAGAGAGAGCGTTTCATTTTTAAATCCAAGCTCCTTTCTGCAGTGAAAAAAAAAAAAGGCACAAAACTCTGTTTTAACTGTACGTTCTTGTCTCTCATAAACACCCGATTAATTCAACCAAATTAAGGAAGTTTGATGGGTTGGCTCAGGACCAAAGCAGATAAAATAGGAACCAACTCAAGGCAGCCCCCGAGCTAAATGTCTTTAGAGGTTTGTTTGTGTAGGAGTCGGGGCTGTTGGTGACTTTTTTCCGTGTGTCTCTGCCCTCATGTTTGGAGCTGGGGAGGAAAGATTCAGACTAGCCCCAGAGTGCTACTTCCCCCATCGCTCCAAGCTGAGCAGAGCCAGGCACCACCAGGGAGCCTCCCACAAAAGCTGATTCTCTCAGAACTTTGAATTAGCCCCCAAACCTTTTAGGCTCCCCCATTTTTTTTCCCCCAACACCGTGTTTGTGGGATGATCGGGCCTGATCCTGAACTCAATGGGGCGCAGTGATTCTTAGGATCTAGCCTGCTGGACGTGCATCTTCTATACAACGTACTGGCCTGCATCAAGACATGCCAGCCGTTTTAACCCCTGACACCAGGGATTGCCGAAGGATATGCTACAGTGAGGGTCCCAGGGTCCCGCCCCCGCTGTTGTGCTGAAGGCTCGGGGGCTGTGTGCCGAATGCCAGCGGGGATTTTGTTCAGCTCTCCAGCGTTTCGGGTGAGCAGTCCCCTCTCGGCAACCTAATCCCGCTTGCTTTGTTGTAACTTGCAGGGGCATCGCTGGGCTCAACCCCAGGAGGGAGCATCAGCAAGGGGCTCCCAAGTGCCAGGCCTCCGTCGGAATCGCCCATCACCTATCGAGGATCCATCACGCACGTAGGTTTCTTCTCTTAACGGCTTGGGGGGATCTCAGCTGGTTTGTAATGTGGGCTGGGAAGGAACGGTTGCTGTGAGAGCAGACCCTCTCCTGGCGTGTATAGAAATGATTGCAATTTTTTGTTACTTGGAGTGGACTCTGAGCCCAGGGGACATCAGAGCACCCCCTCCTGGCAGACCCATCAGGAGGAATTTCAGAGGACTAAGCAAAGAGGGTGTAAACCCTTGAATTGCCCCAAGGCAGACCGGCAGACCCAGTGGGTAACTGCTCTGACCTATCACCTCTGCAGAGCTGAGTTCAGATCCTGGTGGGGCGAGAAAGGGGAGTCGGAGTGGGTTGGTGCCGCCACCGCCTCCTAGCAGAGCATCTGCACACAGCCCCACCCAGTTTGTCTCCCCACCTGCACAGGTGGGCCAGCAGGAGAGGTGGGGGCTTCGGGGTGCAAGGGCTGCAGGGCAGGACTGAGGAGCAATCTGGAGGAAGATTATGCTGAAGATCAGGTTCGTTCCGTTCTCCAAGACTGATGAAAAGCAGAAGTACCCAGACTTCACTGGTGGTGAAAGGGGCATTGCATTCGAAACTCCCTTCACCCATGCCAGTTGTTCTCAGGAACCCAGATGAGGGCCGGGGTTAGCTGAGGTTTTAATCTTGCTGGCACTCTGTGTAGCAGGCAAAGGAAATGGAAGAGAACAGTAGGCTGGGGAGGGGGAGACCAAGCCAGCTAAAGGGAATGGGGTGATGAAGTTGAGGAATCAGTGCAGTAAGTCTCCTTCCACTGCTGTAGCAGGGTGTTCTCTAGGCCCGGCCCAAAGGGCTGTCCTGAATGTACTCTGCCTTTAATCATTTATCATTCATCTTCAGAAGAGCAGCTGCCAAGTGGGGGATAGTTCTGCGGTGTGAGTTATTGCTCAGCACTGTGTGGAAAGCCTAAAAACAATCTGTTTCCCTTGGGGATTTTTATCTGGCCATCATTCAGCTCTTTAAAGCCACTTATAAGCGCTGCGATTTTTTTCCTGTTGTCTGGGTGGCTTCAAAAAGGGAAGATACACTTCCCTGCCCCTGGAAGAGCTATGGGGGGTGGGAGGGACAGCGCTGGCTAGTGGGGTTATGCAAGAGATCTGAGATGTCAGTTCCAGGGCATGATTTGATCAGACGCTGTTTCGGAGCCAGCTAGTTAATGGACATCGAATTCCTGTATTCATCTTAGAAACAAAGTAGCAGCAGGAAGCGAGGCTGCCCCTTTGGTTTGATTCAATGGTAAAGTAGCTCTCGGAGCAGCTGTAATGTGCTAGGCCTGTTTGCAGTGTGTCTGACGGCTGGACCCGGCAGGCCAAAGGGCTCTGACATCTCCTCTGAGCAGTGCCCATGATGCCCCACGGCGCGGCATCCTGCAGAGTCTCCTGACAGGGAAGCGCAGTGCCCCCGATTCCTGTAGCAGCTCCCAGCGCTGTGGCTGATACCTGATCTCAGATTACTCACCCAGAAGACAGATCTTGAATAGGGTGCACTCTGCTCCCAAGCCGTCTGTCATCGCTCGCTTTCAAACCTCCTGCAAACACGTCCGCTGCAGGAAGGAACCTTACCTGGCACTGGGAAAGCCAATGCTGAGCGTTTCTGTGAGCCTGTGTCAGAGCAAACAATCAGGGCATTGAAACCTGCACATTGACACGTCCCGTCCAGTCTCTGCAGCCAGCAGCTCTGTGACTGCTGCTCTGACTGCTTACAAAGAGCAGAGACCCATTGAACAGAGGGGTTGAGGGTGGGGAGGGGATGGGACATTCTGTCCTGACGGATTGGAGCAACCTCCAAACACCACCAGTCTGAAGTGCTGACATTTAGAATCAGGTTCCTTATTCACCCCTTACAGCAATACAGATATCGTGTAGCATTCAGCGGGGCCTATTCGTACAGTGTGACTAGCGGTGTTTGGATTTTAGCTTTGAACAGCAGGATGCAAGTCGATTCTGGTTTCTCACCCCGGTGCATGGATTGCTAGGCTGCAAGGGCACACGCGGTGAGGGATTGTTACCATGCTAACTCCGTCCCGTGTGCTCCAGAAGAGAGCAGGGACTAGGATGGCAGCTTGGTAAATCGGGAAAGAGGCCAGCGTGGAAACAGAACTTGTCCCCACATACACACGTCATATAGATAAAGCCATACGCGCCCTAGTGTGGACTCAGTTATACCACTATAAAGAGGCTTTATATCAGTGTGGCTAGTCCCATACGCGCAGGGGAATAAGTCGTACCAATATAAGGCACCTTTATACTGATATAACTGCACCCCAGTAAATAATTTACAAGCGCCCCTTCAGGCTGAAATTTGTTCCAATGAAACGTACATCAAATAATTCCAAGTAACTAAACGAGGCCAAAATCTCAATCCGTTGACAGATAATTCCCAGACAGAGAAAAGGGATAAATTCTCTGCCGCTAGATCCCTGGCTCCAGCCATGGCAGCACTCGTATAGGGCATTTTCCCCCTTGTGCAGAGAGCCAGCGCGAGGCCTGGGCACCTGAGCCCTGTAAGTGGGACTTGAAGGTCACTGGTGTCAGCTCTCTGCCCCGGGGTGAATTTCACTTACAGTTGGAGGAGCAGAGGGAGGGAGCCTCCCTGTCTTCCTAATTTACATTTCCCCCTTATGGCTGTTGGATTGTTTCTTGCATCTCGCTCCGGCTTGGATCATGAAACAAGGTTGGTCAGTTTCCCTCCTGCACCAACTCTTGTGAGCAGCTTGCAAACCCAGAACGACCTTGAATGATGAAAGGGGTGGGAGGCGGATATTCAAGGCTTCCTTGGGGATTTGGACACCTGCGTTCCATTATTTCTGCTGGGAGTTGGGTGTCCAAATGCCTTTCCAAATCTCAGGCCTAGGCTGTTTTGAAGAAAGCGGTGGAGAAGGAGGAGTTTGCATAAGCAGCGGTTCCCCTCTTTATATTTAAAAGCAAAGCTATGAGCCTGGCTCTTTGCGCTGCTCCACCAGTAACCCCCGTTCGAGTCTGTAAAGCTGGTGTGATGGAATGACGAATGGCCCTGCATTTTGGGCCCAGACTGCTTGATTGCGTGCCCTTTTGAAGGTCAATGGTTCTGTGATCAGCTGTGCCCCGAGATACTAGTCTGAGAAAATAGTTTACAGTGACAGTAGTCCCACGGGAAAGAAAAATACTTAAGTCGTGTTGGCCATGACTAAGACGTCCCAAGGGAAGGCAGAGCTGTAATAGTGCCTGTCTCTTCAATCCAGTGGGATGGAAAGAAACCAGATAGTCTACTTTGAAAAGCGCAGCGCGGACGGAGCAAGCAGCGTGGGTTGGTGTCTCCATTCCTGCTCTGCCCAATGGTGGAGGTGCCTGAGCTGCTCTGTAATTGTATCGAGCGAAAGCCAGGCTGGCTCCGTCTCTTTACACCCTTTGGATGCAAGGCCTGTCCTCTGCGCATGGCGCTCGCCCCTGTCTCTTCCCAGCAACCTCACACAAATCCCGTACCTTTTACCGCTCAGCGTTCGTGTCCTCATCAATAATTAAGCTGCAGATTTCTCGCTATTGGCCCTGACAGGAAGCAGAGTTCAGCTGTGCTCTGCCTCCCTTTTGGAACAGAGTGTTCCTGTGTGAGAGAGCTTTCTTGCTTAATTGCTTGTGGCACTGTTAAATATGGATCTTGGTGGCTTTCCAAGGGCACCCCAGCTGAAGTGCTGTACAAAGGAACCATTACCAGACTGATCGGAGAAGACAGCCCCGGCAGAGCAGAGAAGGCGAGAGAGGATGCCTTGACCAAAGGACATGTCATCTACGAAGGGAAGAAGGGCCACGTGCTCTCCTATGACGGTAAGCTGGAGTCCTCTCTGGTTTTTTGGGAGGGCGGGGGGGCATCAGGTTCATGCACTAATGTTCGGGAGCTAGAACGTTTGGGAAAACATTACGAAGCGTGTCTTGCCGGGATCCCGTTTATATTTCCCGAGTAATTTTCTCCCTGTTCCTGATCTTTGAGGTCTTATCTGAGGGACAGATTTTCATCTTTGATGCACACAGCAGATCTGGTCTGTGGCGTGCCGCTTGATTCAGCTGGGAGAGCTGCTGGTGTCAGCAGGAGAGCCCCATGTGTACGGAGGGCAGCACTTTTAGACTGTAAGCTCTCTGGGGCAGGGAGCATCTCTTCCAATGTCTACATTGGGACCTTGTACGATGGGGCCCTGATCTCTCCCCTGATTGGGGCCCCCAGGGGATTGCTGTGTATCAGTGATCACGCTGGTATGCTTGCAGTGGGCTTAGTGGATCTGAGGGGAGAGCATCTGCAGGACACCTCTCTCCTTGCGCAGAAGGTAACTTCTCTCCTTGTTCCCACTGGGTCGAATGAAACCATGTTGTGGGTGGCTTCGTGCCCTCAGCCTGTGCACGCTGATACTGAGATAGAGGGCAGCGTGCCCACCAGTGGGGATGAAGCTGCACCTTCGCAGGAGTCTGAAGGCATCAGATTCTAGGGCTTAAGTTCCCCTGTGCCCACGTGAGGCCATTGCACCTCTGAAGGCCCCGGCTAAGAGCTGACAGACACATACTGGGTCCTGTGCAAGTCCTCTGCACTGAGGTGCACATTCCCTTAGATGTGGAAAGCAGTAAAAGCAAGGCCCATCCTGGCCTAGGGCAAATCTCTCGCACGGAGGGTCATCCCCCTCCGGGACAAGGTGACAGTGTTGAAAGCCCTGCGGCCCAGTGTCACAGCATCCCGGCGCCTCGTCAGGGCGCTGCACCTTGCACTGAGCTGACGTCGCCATGGGAGCATGCAGCGGCAGGGCTGTGCAGCGTTGCCAGCCCTGAAGTAAATGGGGACCCTTCAGTTGCCCTTCCAGCTGGGTTTGCAGGTGTCAGGTCAGACCCATGGGAGTCGGGGCCTTTCCATGAAACGTGGGGCCTGTGGCAAACCCCATCACTGGCTCCCCACGTCGAGCAGAGAATGCTTTAAGGGGACTGCCAGGCAGCTGGGGCCTGGGCAAAGGGGCATCTCTTGTCATGTCATAACTCTGCCTTCAGACCCTGCTACCCCCCCTGGCCACACTGGCTTTGGCCACCGGAGTCCTGCCTAGAGGTTAGAGCACAGGGCTGGGAGTCAGGACTCTGGTTCCATCCTCCGCTTTGATACTGACCTGCCAGGGCATCTCAGGTAACTCACACAGGGCCAAAGGGCAGGCAGGGGAGAGCAGGTGTGTGGAGTCTCTAGCTCCGCCCCTAACGCAGGAAGCAGCTGTAGTTTGGCTGATTGCCATCTGGATGAGTCAGGCAGAGACGGCCAGAGAGGCAACGAGGTGCTGGCTCCTGCCCAGCGCTGGGAGGACGCACCTGGGGAACAGGTGTCATTGGGAGGGCCCAGCGAACACACATCCCACCACGCAGCTGAAAGATTCACTGTAGTGTAAGGTCTCCCAGTTGGGTGCTAAACAACACCCCCTTCCAATGGAGGGCTCCCCTGTAGCAGCCTTCACTAGGCCCTTAACATCACAGAGCCTCCGTTTCCCCCCTGTATAGTGAGAACAACGCCCATTTCCCAGGGTGCCGTGAGCCTGGCGTAGTTAAGGATAACGTTCATGTAGTGCTTGGAGCTTCTCAGCTGGGATCCCTTAGTATTCTCACCTGTTCTGTGGCGCAGGGGAATGGCAGCCTCTCGCCCCCAGGCTGTGCTTAGCACCGGTGGCTCGGTTGCTGCTTCTTAACGCTGATGTTGCCAGGCTGCAGCACGTCTGGGCCTTGCACTGAGGCTCAGCTCAGCATGGCAATGCGACACAGCTGTGCTGATGCCAGGGATGTTTGGCGATGGTTTTTATGGCTAGGCTGCAGGGCGGCCCCTTTGTGATCCTCATACCGTGCGTAAGAAGCCACAGGCCGCCTCGCCTTTTAGAGCGTGGAGGACACAGACGCAGTGTTGCGTCTCCAAGCTCCGTTCTCATCTCCAGTTTGCTAGTATCGCTGCCAATGTCCTTTGTGTTACCAGGACACTGCCAAGGGAGGTAGCTCCGGCGGTTCGGTTTGGTGCTGTGATAAAGGGTTTTGCTGAATCTGCTCTGAATACCCTGACTGACTTTTCTACTGCCACTTAGAAGTGCCTTCCGCTTTCCTCGACCCTTTCCCGGGAGCCTCGCTTCTGAGAAGTGAAGCTGTTGGTAAACTACGGCAGGGCAGCTCCCAAGCTGGCATCGATGTCCAGGCCAAGAAGAATGTCTGAAAGGAGCCGTCCGCGCTCATGGTGGGAGTCCAGCCAGTTGTTCGACTAATCTCTGGGGTGTTACAACAACACAGGCATGGAGGCTCTTCCCCTCCCTTAAAATATAAGATTGTCTTGACAGTGTGAAGAAAAGGAACATTTCCAACCCGCACAACAGGGTGTGCCAACCCCATGCTGGCGAAGCAAGGGTTAAAGAACAGTTTGGGGCCCAAGAGGCCACACCCCTTCACCCGTGCTGGGCATGCTCCCAATGGAGGGAGCATTCTAAAGAGAGCCACTCAGCTCAGTCTGGGCTGGCCCAGGAGAGCACTCGTGGGCAGCAGCCTCCTGCCAGGAAGCCACCGGGTTCGCGCCTCCTAGCTGCACCGCGGGAAGCCAGTTGTCCCTGGGAACCGAAGGGGACGACTCACTGTTGCCGGCCGAGGAACTGCTGGAGACGGAGCAGAAGGAACACAAGAGGGACCCCACGTTCAACCCTGGAGACAAGGCCAAAGGGGCTGGGACGAGGGTAGGCAGCAACCCAGGGAACATGCATGGGGGGTATTGGGACCTGAGCCTGCATAGGTCACAGCACTTCTTTAAGTGCAGAGGTGCTCTCTGTGTTAACTCAGTAGCCAGCTGTTACTTCCTTCCCCACGCCTGCTCACCGGACGGCAGGGCTGGCCCTAAAATCAGCTGGCAGTTTGCTCAGAAGCTCAGTTTGCTTCCATGAGTGATGAGCAGAGGTTTGTTTCCAGTGAGGCTTACGAGCGACTCCTCCATACCAGCCTTTCATTGCACGCTGCTCTTCCCCATGCTTCTGGGGCTGGGCAGGTGCAGCCCAGCAGCCACCTTGAGAGACACCCTGGCCACATTGAGTCTGGAAGCAGAGGATGCCGCTTTACAGCGACTGTCACCCTTGGCCTCTTGGAGTCCAGGAGGCTCGGTAACCCAGCCCGATGCGAAGCAGCAGCATTTTGGTGCCTGGCCAGAACACGCACGAGGAGCATGAGTGACTGTCTTACAGAACTGCATCACTTCTGCTCTGAGTGCAAGGCAGAGATGACTAAGGACCAGATCCTAATCTCGGATGTACCCGCCCGCCTCGCCGTCTATCTTTCAGATCTGCTGCTGTGTCACACCCCCACACAGCTCACATCCCTCTCCAGAGAGCAACGGCCTTCGGTGTTCGTCTCTTTCTTGCCGCCGCGGCCTGCCTGACAACAAAACGAAGCTGAGAGGTGGGGTGGGGGTGGCGCTTTGGCTGCTAGTGGGAAGAGCTAGTGTGGAGCACTTGCCACGTTCTCGGGCTGAGGAAGGAGCCACCAGAGAGAATGTGCCTGGGGTTGGCTCATTCTCTGCCACTCATCGCCGCCATGGGGAGACGCTGCCGCTCCCTCCTGCCCCCAGGTGAGGGTTCCTTGATGTGGGCTGCTGGCGGTGCTTGTCGGGAGGGATGAGGGGGTTGTTGCAGGGTGGTGTCTGAGTGGGTCTCTCTTTCTCGCTCTGTGTTGGAAGCAGGAGCAGGAGGGGCGAGTCTGAAAAGACAAGCTACAGGCTTGGCCCACAAGCTGTTACTCAGTTCCATTCCAGAACTGGTCGCTCAGTTTTCTGGGGCACACTTCGGGGTGTGGCGGCATGTCCACTGACGGCGCAGGGCTCTCGGTCAGTCAAGCTGTTGGAGGTCAAGAGCACAGGCTCGGGATGGGCCAGCTTGGGGTCAGCAGCCCTCCACACACCCCCAGTAGGGCCAGCTTTTCCGCCGGGGTCAGCACTCAGCACCTCCCACTCTGATGCTGATAGCCAGATTTCCAGGCACTCTGCACGCAACGTACAGATCTGTGTGGCTCAGAGAGCAAAAACAGAGCCTGCCCCACTGGGATTGAATTCCCATATCTCCCAGAGCTCCCTCGGCTTCTCCGCTAACAGGCATGGAGCCCTGGGCAAGCAGCAAAAGGGTTAAAATCCTCCCATGATGGACAGCTCATGAATTTAGGCTTGAAGCCACCCCTGTGGACCCAGTCTTGTGCTGCAGTGACCTTCCCGTGCTGGGTGTGAGGAGCATTTTCTGCAGCGCCCACCGGGCACCGCATGCAAAGTAAATCTCCATTCCTCTCCCTTTGGGTTGTACCAGAAAACCACGCCGGAAATGTTTCCAAGCTGTCATCACAATGAGCAACTGGATCTCTTTAGCCAGCACTCCAGATCAAACAGTTGATCTTCGAAATCATGCCGCAGTGGGGAGAAAAGCCAGAGCTCCTCTCCCAGGCCAAATTCTGGTTTAAAGAATAAACAACCCCAATCCTTGCATTAGCTGCCTGAGCTGTTAATCAGACACGGGGGGATTACCAAATGGAGAGAATGAACTGCAAAGAATGGATGTGAACCAAATTCCATATGGCTCACGCTGCACGTGGGCCTCCCACCGAACCCCCAGGCTGCTGGGCCTGCTTGTGCATGGACTTAACGTGACACTACGTGTATAATGATAATGACGATATTTCTTACCCCTCGGAGCATTCATTCAAACGCCTAACCCATAGAGGCAGCATGTTCTAGTGGCTGGGGCCCTGAACTTGGATTCATGAGACCTGGATTCTATTCCCAGACCTGGTGCATGACCGTGAGCAAGTCACAGAATTGCTCTGTGCCTCAGTTTCCCACCCCATCATTCGTCTGTGTGGATTGACAGCCATTCAGGGCAGGGATTGTCCCGTGCTCTGAGGGTGAGGCCTTGATTTCGGCTGGAGCCTCTTGGCGCTACCGTAATACAAACAATAACAAGAATACGGGGGAGGGAGGTTAGCATCGTTATCTACGGGGCAATGGCGCTGACTGATTCACCCAAGGCCACAGGGGGAGTGAGAACTGAAATGAACCTCCAGACGTTTTCACTGTTTCGATCCCATGCGCAGACCTGGCACATATACTTGAGCAGGCGGTCCTGCATTGGCAAAGAGATGGGCTCTCTATATCACCCGATAGGTCTTGCCCATCTCTGATTTCTATGATTCTGCATGAAAATCTATTTCAGATGAGAAGAGGAGCTAGCGTATGAGGCTTAATTTAATTTGCTTTTGTACTTTCTCCACCAGCCTCTCTTTGTGCATTAGATTTTTAGGCCACCCCTCCCTCTACCTGTACATATTAATAGTAACAGTTGAGTAAGAGGGGTCCTGGGCAGAGTAATTGGATTTGTGTATCTGGTTGATTTTCTGCTCCTCTCCGGACCTGTAAGACAAGATGATTTGATCCCTAATATCCTGACCATCTTCTTTCCCCTAGACAATCCTGGGACGGTTTCAAATGCAGTAGCGAATGAGTTAAAAAAATTAAATTAAATTAAATTGTTAGTGATTGAGTTCTGGCAAGCAGGGAAAAAAACCTGCAAGTTCTGTAGTGCCGTGAGGGTACTTACAAATAAAAGGGCTCTAATGAGACAAAATCCTGTAGCATATGCAAGCTGAATTGTGCTAGATTGGTTATTCTCATTCTGCATGTGATTGCTAATGGCTTCTACGAGCAAGGGACATGTTTTCTGAGCAATTTTCTTTCTTTTTAATCTCTCTATTGCCTCCCCCCAAAACACATGAAACAAAGAGAAAAGGGACGACGTTCCTTTTGCAGAAGAGCTATTTAGAACAGATGTTCCTTGATAACAGAATGCGGCAACATTACCCCCTTCATGTGTCTCAAGATGCCTGACTGCTTTCTAAACATCAGCCGCTGATTTTTCACGTCGAATGAGTCTGAAGCCAAGAGGGAGACAGAGATTCACTTTCTGTTTCCCAGAATCTTTCCCCAAGCCCTTTTCGGTTTGATTGTACGGTGATTGCAGAAACTGATAGTGGGGGTTGTGTCGTAATAATCCCATTTTATTCGTTACTTGCTTCACAGAAGAGAACTTTTGTTCCCAAACTCTCCGGGACCAAACAAATGTTTTGAACTTCTCCTGTGTTTTCTGTAACTGTGTAATTCTAGATATGGGGTGTGTGAAAGAAGAGGATCAGGACACCAGCATTCCTTGGCAGGATAGACTAGTCCAGGGATAACAGGCAATGAGTTTATCTTGTGCAAGCCAATTGCGGAGCTTGGAGCTTGTTACATAAACCTTGGGCTTTCAGCTGTGTCATAAACTGTCTTGTAAATTTCATGGGGTGGGCTGCGTTATGCAGGAAATAAGAATGTGGCAGCAGGATGGATTTGCTGATGTTAAATCCAATGGTGAATCATAGATTTTTTTTTTTCAGGCTGTAGAACAGACTTCCAAGGGAAAGGAGAGAGACCCATCACTTGGAAATATAGAATATAGGTGCAAAAGAGCTGTAGCGGGCAGTACTGCATTGGCAGGGAGATGGGTTTAATAGCCCAATAGGTCTTGCCTATCTTGAATTTCCATAGTTCTGCGTGAAAATCTATTTTAAATTGGAAGAGGAACTAGTATTTGAGGCTTAATTTAATTCTGTTGCTTGATACTGTACTTTCTCCACCAGCCTCTGTTATGGTGCATTGGATTTTTCACATCCTCCTTTGTCTTTAAGTGGTTTGTCCATCTCTTGCTTCTGATTAGAATAATGTGAGTGTTCTTTATGCTAGTTTTGATGTTAAAGGTTTTTCTGCTTTGCTTCTTCCCCTTTGCCTGCTTTTCTCATCTGGGGAATGTCTCCAAGTGTCTGTTAGGGAGACTGGACAAGATCACAAGCAGTAGGTGTATTCAGGAAACTGCGCCACAGGGCTAATTTCAGTGGGAGTTTCAGCTGCTTACACCAGAGCTGAATTCGCTCCATAACGTCTCGCAGGCTGTGTCTGGATAGTGGGAAAGACGGATGCTCTTGCCCAAACATGAGGCCATGGAATTTGGAATCTGAGGCGGGCAAGGAGGGGGGAGAGAGGCTGAATTTCCTGGAACCCAGCAGCATGGTGTAATGCCGACAAAGCCTGCTGAGCGCAAGCTGAATTGCGGGACTCACTCCTATGGGAGTGAGCCTTTAGTGGACGTGCGAATGACAGTAAACAACCTCGCTCGCTCACTCCCCCTTCTTCATGCTGCTACTGTTTCTTCATCTCCTTCTATTTCCTAGGTGGAGTCGGTGCTTCCCAGTGCCCCAAGGAGGACAGCAGAAGCGCTGGCGCTTCTCATGAGACCACTGGTACCAAACGGACCTACGATATGATGGAGGGGAGGATCAGCCGGGGTTTGCCAGCGCGCGATCTGTCGTCCACTAGCATTGAAGGTGGGTTTGGGGGAATCTTTCAGTCGTGCCATGTCAGGAGTCAAACACGGGGGCAGAAAGTGTGCGGCAGCTTTCCAATTCTGAGAACTCTCCCCGTCTCCTGACAGCAGCCCTTCTGTTCCAGGAGGAGTGGCAGCAGCCTGTTTTGGAGGAGATGCACATGGCTATGCGCTCTCCCGCAGGACCACCTGGCTCGCATTTTCCTTCATCTAAAATAAGACATCCAGACTGAAAGTGCATGTTTTGCTGCATGCTTTTTTGTGTGTGTGTGTGTGTGTGACAACCATATCTCTCTTCTGGATCTATCAATACAGTGAGAACTTACAGGCCTTACCAGAAAAATGAGTCTTAATTCATCCGTCCTTCTGAACACCCGTGCTTTGTGCCCCGCACAGAAATGGCCAAGTTGTTCTAAACAAGAGATACAGGCTGCGATTTTCAGTGGTTGACAGGCACACATCTCCCATTGAAGGTCCCACCTGTAACTGTTGAAGGGACTTCAGCAGATAATTCTAGCTGTAAAAGGCTTTGCTTAAAATAGACCCTAAAAAAGGTTTTACAAACCCTAACCCTAATATTTAGTAGAAATTTTTTCTGGCCCCGTTACCAAGAGAACCCAGCGTCGGAGCCGGCTAACTCTGCACATATAAGATGGTCAGCTCTTTGGGACAGGGCCTGTCTTTTTGTTGTGTGCTTGTACAGCACCTAGCACAATGGGTTCCTGGTCCGTGATTGGGGCTCCTAGGCCCTACTGTAATAAAATAATAAATAACCATAATAATAAAGTGACGATGCATGTGAAACCTCGGATTTCATTGGGGCTACTTACAAGTGTTACAGCATTTGTAAGATTGGGATCCGAGTAGCTAGTTTATCTATAGGCTTATATATTTTAAGAGTGGCATCTTCATTCTCTCTAGACCCATATGGAACTGAGAGCAGGGGAAAGTTACACAGAAATTTTGCGGGGGAAGGGGCAAAGTGGGTTTCTGATTTATAAAGCAGGAAGCGATGCAATTTTGAAGTTACAATGCTCTAATTGCTATCTAATGGGTAGATGAATCATATTTTTGTTGGAGGTGTTGGCATCTATCCATACGCTTTGGGCATTACTGGCATACATGCATCTCAGGGAAAACTTTAAGGAAAGATGATCGTTCTGGACCTCCAAATGCTTTTTTAACCTGAAACTTTCCCTTGCAGCATTTTGAATCCAAACAGGACAGCAATAGTAGGAAAACAAGAAAGTGAAACTGACTAGAAACAAAGGGAAACTGACCAGTCTGGCCTTTTGGTCCCCAAAGTACAAGAAGTAAACAAGCAGTTCAAAAGGAGAAAAGTAAACTAGCAATTTAGAAAGCATTTTTGTATTAATCCCAGGTAGTGCTATTACTGGAGAAAACTTTTAAAAATTAGGTGATTTCTCGCTTGTCAGTGTTCCTTTAAGATATAATGAAAATGTCAGCAGTCTTGCTACCTTCTGACTGTTCTCTTTGGCCTGTTCTAGGTCTAATGGGTCGAGCGATCCCCCCCGACAGACACAGTCCCCATAACTTAAAGGAGCAGCATCATATCCGGGGCTCAATTACACAAGGTAATACTGGCAAGTATCCAGATCAGGAAGTATATGTGTGGGGGGCAGGCCATGACATGTGACATTTCCTCATGTGCAACTCAGCACTATCCATTAACCCTGGATGCAATTAGAGTGGGAGGAACTAAGGACTGAGTTGTCCCACTGGTTCTGCAGTCACATTGCAGACCTAGCCAGCGACTGGAGAAGCAGAGTCCTAGTGGGTAGAACACTGGACTGGGACTCAGGGGACTTGAGGTCTACTTCCAGCTCTGCCACTGGCCTGCTGGGTGACTATGGGCAAGTTACTTCCCTGCTCTGTGCCTCAGTTTTCCTCATCTGTAAAATGGGGATAATGACCCTGATCTCCTTTGTCAAGTGTTTTGAGATCGAATGATGCAGAGGGATAGGTAAGAGCTAGGTATTCATCATCATCATATCTGCTTCTTGGCGAGGGTGAGATTTTCAGAAGTGAGCCGTTGACATTTGGTCTCACTCTGCTCTCGTTTAAGTCACTGGTAAAATTCCCATTGGGGAGCTCACTGAGAGCAGAGCTGAGCCAACGCAGAGCATTTCTGAAAAATCCCACTCTTGGTCTTTACGACCCCATACGGCGAGGCAGTTGGGGCTTTGCAGAACCAGTTGGGTTGCCCAGGCTCTGTAGTGGCTTTGCATGTGAACTCCATTAAACCCCCGTGGCCCACAGCCTGTATAGAGGCCGTAAGTACATCATTCAGTTTGCATGACCTGCTTCTTTGGAGACTCACATTGGTGCATTACTTTCTTGGGGGGTTGCAGGAATCCCGCGATCCTACGTGGAGGGCCACGAGGACTACCTCAGAAGAGAAGCCAAACAGCTCAAGAGGGAGAACACTCCCCCAAGGGACTTGTCCGACACTTACAAAGTCAGGCCTCACGAGGGCCTCGCTCCCTTGAAAATGAAAGCAGCTCACGAAGGCCTCGTTGCCACCGTGAAGGAAGCAGGAAGATCGATCCACGAGATTCCCAGGGAAGAGTTAAGGCGCACGCCTGACATCCCGGTGGCAGCAAGGCCTCTGAAGGAAGGATCCATCACACAGGTGCGTTCCTTGGGGGAGGGGCAGGTTAGTTTGCATGAGGTAAAGGGGGTCAGTACGGCGCCAGGTGGATGAAGGCACCCAAGCACCGGAGAACTGGGCCAAAGAGAGGTCTCCATGGGGGTGTCTCCCGTAGAACTTTGGCCCCTGTTTTGAAATACGTTCAAGTTTGGCACGTACTTGGCCCTCTTTCCCCAGAGGGGCGCAGTGCACGCATGGGGAGTCACAGAGCTTGAAAAGATCTCCAGGGGGCTGCATGTCCAGCCCCTTCATGGGTGCCCTGTCAGAGCAATTCTGCGTGGGGTTTGTTGTCCGGAGGATATTTTAAGTCCTAGCAAACACTGCGAGTGATTCTTTCACTTATTGCCCACCTGAATCTTTTAGTACCCGGGGTATGAGTGTAACCTCCGAACTAATTGGGCCTTGTTACTTGTGTAGACTCCTGGCGAACTTAGTTAGTTAAACTAAGGGTCTGTCTGCACAGCAAAGCTGCCTGGGTTAACTGACCCGGGCTAGCTTGAACCCAGCTAGTGCAGGTCACAGTTGCAGTGAAGCCAGTACAAGCCCAGCACGGACCCTGATACGCACTCGGCTCACTAGCCTTGTGTGGTGCCCACGCTGCACTGTCTTGGCTGCTATTGTTAGCCACGCTAGCTAGATTCCAGCTCGCTCGGCTAGGCTGGCCCGTTGTAGAGACGTACCCTGGGAGCAGAAGTGGAAAGAAGTGGAATGGGTTGTGCTTTTGCAACAATGTCATTGGTCAAGTTTTTGTTTTGTAAAACCAGGGGCCTTCTGTCTACATGACACCCCCTTAATCTCCTCCTTCCTCCTCCCCCACGCAATGAAATATTGGGGTGGTGGGATGAGATGAATTATGCCAATTTTGGCCTCTCTCTAATGAAGAGTGCCCCTTTCTAACCACCTTTCTGAGACACCCACCCACCCCATGTAAACTTCTTGGGTCCTGTGTTCTCAGTTACACAGGTATAAACCCAAAGTAAACTCACTGAAGTCAGTCGGAGTGACTCTGGATTATGTAGGTGTCGCTAGGAACAGGGTCTGTCACCTCCAGCAAGGCCGGCTTTAGGAATTGAGGAACAAGTGCTTGGGGCACATCTCGTGGCTTGGACTCGCACCGTACGTGGAGCGTTCCGATAGCAGCTGTTTAGAATACTCGTGACTGTTGATTGTATCGTATTTCTCTGAGGGGGGTGGGAGAAGCACAGTGGATATAGACACTCATTGATGGTGATTCATCTTCCTGTTGTCAGTGGGGAATGTGCATTTACATGCCATGTTCTGTTGGGCTGTAGCTCCTGGAGACAGTTGATTCCCATGGGAATAGGAGTCTCCACTCACCCTTACCTGTTCCAGTGGAATAGCATTACCTCCTAGTTCTGAGTCTCACCGGTGTAGTTCTGTGTACAGTATTAGTGCTGTTGATTTTCAGTGGGACTTCTGTTTCCAAGTCACTTCGGTGCTTTGGAATATCCCACCCTGGGGCCCAGGCTGAGCACGAGTGCGAGTGACAACCTAAAAGAGCAAACGGTGATCTTCACTGATTCTGCCCCGTTGCATTCCCTTCCCCACTCTGATGCCCTCTTCGCTGCCTTGTTTCCCCAGGGTACCCCGCTGAAATACGACAGCAACTCTTCTTCAGTAAGTGCCAAAAAGCATGATGTCCTGTCGATCATCGGGAGCCCAGGGAGGACTTTTCACTCTGTGCACTCGCTGGACGTCATGCAAGACCCAAGGACTCTGGAAAGAGTTTGTTACGAGGAGAGCCTGAAAAGCAGGCCCAGCCCAGTTACAAACTCCGGAGGTTCAATTACCAGGGGAGCCCCCGTGATTGTCCCTGAGCCCGGAAAGCCTCGCCGTAGCCCGCTTACCTACGAGGACCACGGGGCAGCGTTTAGTAGCCATCTGCATCGAGGTTCTCCGGTATCCACAAGGGAGTCGACCCCAAGGCAGCATGAAGGTAACTCTTGTTCTCCAGCAGACCCCTAATGTGCTGGGGACACTTAGGGCTTTTAGGAAATGCTAGGATTGGCGCATACAGGGCGTTGGCCGGGTTCCCACCCTCGCCCCCTCACAAACACTAGAGGGAAATGTGGGTAGTTGCCGTGGACCAAATGTTGTGGTGTAAATCTGGAATATCTCTTGGAAGCCAATGGAGATGGCTCCAGATTGACACTGGAATCGCTGAGACTGAGATTTGGCCCTGTGTGATTCTGAAGGCCATGCTGCAGAGGAGGCGTCTACTCTGTACGCAGGCTTTGATCTAGAACGCACATGTTTTAATGGTGTGGGAGAAAGCTCAGTGCTAAGTAACATGGAAAATTGGGGGGAGGGAGGTTATTTTCTCCCCTCTCTTCTGTGCAAGTGTAGGTGTTTGTCTACCCAGCTCTGCATTTATACCTCATCCATCACCATAGCATCTGAGGGCTTTGGCTGTAGTTGGGTATAATCCCTGCTAGCCAGCAGATGGAGACAGTCCAGTTGGGTTGTTGAGACCTGACATCCCTTTGGGAGATGCAAAAGTTTTGCTGCCTCAGAATGTTTGTGTGTTTCCAGCAGGGGGCGCAGTTCCACCTGCAGGCGTAGGAATCACTTGGGCTGCTCGCCAGCAGCCTGCGAGCAAGACCCCGGCCTGGCAGAGCACTGGGATTGTGCTGCCATAGCTGCTCTCAGAGGCCACATTCAAAAGCCAGCAAGGTTGCTTGGTCAGGCAGAATTTGGCACAGTGCAAATCTAGCAATCCAGAGCACAGACATAGCCAGAATGACTCGCAGCCTGGCTGATAGTATTGCTCTTCAGTCCAGCAAATGCCTGTTTCCTTTTGTCCTGTTAACTCTTGGTTGCTTGGTGAAACACAAGGACACGAGCACATATCCGTAGAGCGCATTTATTGTAACAGACAGCGTCAGCTCCAGCAACGCTTTCCCCTAGATCCAGCCAGAGCCTCAGGGATCGTGAATCATCAGGCGGAGCAAGATAAATCTCATCCTGACTGCGACTGTGCCAGTGACCCAAACTACATTTGCAGTTCGGAAAACCGCAGTCTGCGTCCAAGAGTGTTAGTGCAGTCCCTGCCGCCTCATGCTTCCTCTGAGGGTCAAACGAGAGAGGGGTGACCAAAGAGAGCCATGGGTGACCTTGCCTATGATCCTTAATAGAGAAGAAGAATTTTCGAAAAGCCACCCCACCCAACAACCAATAGACCCAGGGCAAACCAATAGTCACCTCACCCAACGACCAATAGACCCAGGGCAAACCAATAGCCACCCCACCCAACGACCAATAGACC